CCTCACATTTCTGCTTGTTAGAAAGTCTGCTCTGCTGTAAATCTTCGCTGTGGAGTTTATGAGGGAACAGACCCTGTGAGGACAGCTAGAACAAGCTGTCCTCACATTTTCCTTGAACATCCTTGCTGTACATCTGTCGAAAACGCTAAGAACCGCAGAAAATAACAAAAAATGATGACAAAGTGTGAGCTGTGGAGAAAATGTTATGGTGTTGCATAACTGAAAACGAGAGTCAAAACAGAAAGTGAAATATTACTACTTCTTCTTCTTCTTTTGTCTGAAGCATGAGTGAAGCAGATTATATTACATTTGATTGCACGGAGCAATTATGGATGTTTAACTTCACTAGCATGAACTCCGAACATTAACACTCACGGACACACGCACACCGGGTTCATCGACTGAGACCTATTATTATTGTGTTCAGAGCTTTGCCAAAGGACGCTGGTCAGCCTTCAGGCCTGCGGAGTTGGATAAAGTTCAGTCATTTGTAATCTCCTTCTAAACCCCTCACAACTTTGCCGTCGAACACAAAACGTCCGAATCTACTGAAGACGAGAGTCGTGGAACAATAGCCAAAGGTCACATAGTTTTTATTTGTTCCGAACTAAACCCTTGGTGTTTTATGCGTCGGGAGCCCGTTCCATTCTTTCGAGCGACGCGTTTGAACACGTCTGAACAACGCTGGACAAAATTCGTCTTTACAGAGGAAGTCTGCTCAGACGGAGACAGAGTCATTAAAACAGGCGGCTTTCTGCCCTGTCGGGTTCGAAATCAAACCAAACACAGCCTCATGTGAAACTCTTTGTTTTGTCTGAATAAGAAAATTACCAGTTAATCTTTTCCTGTAAGGGAGTAATTTCTGTTTTTCTTTTCTTTTTAAGGAGTGATACACAATATAGCACAGACAAGAAAAAAAAATACACCGCAGGTTCCTTGATATAAATGAGTATGAGTAGATATAAATAAAATAAAAAAAGAAAAGAAAGTATTGCAGGTCTAGTCCTGTTTTACTAAATGATAAAAGAGCACTGAAGTACACGCTGATCATTAATCGTTCTCTGCGGAGCTTTCTGTTAAACTCATCGGTGTGCAGGTTTTCTAAACTGTGTGGTTGGTCTGGCTTTGTTTTCGTCCTGCAGCTCAAATCGAGGTCATCCCTTGTAAGATCTGTGGGGACAAGTCCTCAGGAATCCACTATGGAGTCATTACCTGTGAGGGCTGCAAGGTAAAGGAGAAAGAAAGCACAACTTTACCCAAATTCCTTTATGCACCAATTCTTATGCGATGTATAGGTCTGACACCGGTTTTTTTCTTTTTTTTTTTCTTTTGTTTCTTCCAGGGATTCTTCCGTCGCAGCCAGCAGAACAACGCCATGTACTCTTGCTCCCGCCAGAGGAACTGTCTGATTGACCGAACGAACCGCAATCGTTGCCAGCACTGCCGTCTTCAGAAGTGTCTGGCTCTGGGCATGAGCCGAGATGGTAAACATTCATTTAAGCGGGGCTCCGTAGTGGAGAAGCGATCGTCTGCGACTGCCTGCTGCAATGAAACGTAATTTCTCCCCCGCAGCTGTGAAGTTTGGCCGCATGTCAAAGAAGCAGCGTGACAGCCTCTACGCCGAGGTCCAGAAGCATCAGAAGTCTCAAGAGTGCGCGGGCTCAAACGGCCCCGCAGCTCTGTCTCTACCCAGAGAGGACGGCGGCTGCGGCAGCGGGGCGGACGACGGCGAGGAGGGCCTGAGCCGCTCCTACAGCAGCGGGGGGTCCACGTCGACCCTCAGCGACCTGGACGACATCGCCGCGCTGCCCGACCTTTTCGACCTCCCGCTGACGCCCGAGGAGGCCAGCGAGTACTGCAGCCTGGAGCTGCTGGGAGGCGGAGGAGGCAGCACCGGGAACACGTCTAACTCCTCGTCCTCGTCTTCCGCCTCCTCGTCCAATCAGAACTCCCCGCAGCAGACCATAATGGACACGGCAGACAGCTGCGGGAGCCAGCTCCTGCTCACGCACTCGCTTCTGGGACGCAGGCGGTCACTTTTGGACCAGCTGCCCGATGACTGCTCAGTAACAGACCTCGGTGAGACTGAAAACATAAACGTAACAACCGATGCTCCGTTTGTCCCCCTCTTGCTGAACAACAACAGTCACAAAGACAGGAGGAGATTTATCTACATAAAACCAGAGCTGATCAGTTAGAGATAACACAACGGCCTATTTCACAATTTGATTTATTGGAGCTCGTTATTGGTTAATCCTTAACTATGTTTCTGCACAGAGATAATCCTCTGATAACCGAGGACAAAGTTATATCTCATAGAGCTGGTGCACTTTATACTGCACTGTAAAGTGGAACAAGGGCAACGTTATGATGGTGATACGGGGAAGCAGTAAGTTAATCTTCAGTTCAGGCAAAAGGATGGTGTCGGTGTCGCACTTGTGCACATTAAAGGATCAAATGCTTCTACACACGTCTCAAGATGCCTGAAGGAGTTGTACGAGTCGGGTTTATTGGATGGTTGCTGGCAAACGTGTTTTCAGACAGGCTCCGAGGGCCAGTAAAGGAAGAAATTAAAATGTGTTATTGCTGGTGGAGGAGGAGGGGGAAAAAAGTGAGAAAATTGACTGTTAAAACTACCCAGCAGTGCGAATCATCTTAACAGTTACGTCAATTTTTAGATGTTAAGACCGCACGGCTACAGGTCTGCCTTTGCTGTCTTTTCGAAACATAAACGTGCCACAACGACCTCGAAAATGCTTGGACTGACTTTGGATATGTGTGTTTTTTTCCTTTTCAGAGCATATCACTCAGAGTATCGTAAAGTCTCACTTGGAAACATGCCAGTACAGCGCAGAGGACATGAAGAGATTCACCTGGGTACATTACACACCCGAAGAAACCAGAGTTTTCCAAAGCAAGGTGCGCAAAAAAAAAAAAGCAAAATAAAACAAAAATGCTGTGCCCTTCACAGTGATTGAGTTTCATAAAAGTGCAATAAGCACTTTTATGAAACTCAATCGAACAATTTCTTGGGAAAGAGTCAGTGTCAAGTTTTAGATGTATGATTCACCAGGTGTTATATTGGTGTGGTGTATATCCATGTAGAGTTTTCCAGGTTTTACCCTTGGAAGCTTGAAAACTGTTAAAATTGGGTCTGACCTCATTCCCCAGACCCAACTTCCAACTACCAAGAGTAATGGAAAAAAATAATGGAAAACGCTTCAAGTCTAGACAGCACAGTGCAGCTTAGGCACAGAACCCTGAGGGACGCCACATTACAAAGTACTTGTGAGAGCAAATACTTTTATATATCAATTATCTGTTGAAGATGAAAAATCATAGCTAACTGTATTAAACACGTCAATGGAAAACTTTTCTGTTTGTCCCCTCAAAGTATAAACACCGATATATTGAGCATGATTTCATTTCCAAATCTGGGTTCCAGCTTCCAAGATGGTTTCAGGGTCATTTCTAGCGACAGTGCAGCTAATCAGAGAGATACCAGCTTCTCAGTTTGTATCTTATCATAGAATTAAACGTAAGCTCGATGTAATGCTCTGTCTGTGACCCTTTTTCAGTCGGCCGAGTGGATGTGGCAGCAGTGTGCACATCACATCACCAATGCCATCCAGTACGTGGTGGAGTTTGCCAAGCGCATAGCTGGCTTCATGGACCTGTGCCAGAATGATCAGATTATTTTGCTGAAAGCAGGTCAGTGTACGCTCCAAAATACCAGCTCTTTTTTTTTTTTCACAAAGTAAAATTATTTCAATGTGAACAAAGTTTTAATCTTGCTAACTGAAAATCCTTCCTTCTTGTTTTTTGTCTCCAACCTTCTACCTCTGCCTGTTATTTTACATCATTAAAAAAAAAAATATATATATATATATATATATATATTTTTTTTTTTTTTCTTTTTTTTTAATAAACACCTGCTCTGAACACTGGGGAGAAATACTAAATTCTGAAAACAAAATTATTTTTTTAAATATAATTTCCTGCATATATTTGACAATGTTTTACGTTCTTTAAATGGTTTGGACTAAACAATAAACCTTGTTGGATATTTGTACTATCCTTTTAAAAATATTAACTTGTTCAATTTTGTCTTGTATATGCTGTGCACTAATTTGACTCAAAATTGACAATTTGTTGTATGTTTTTGCATGTTTGGAGTATTTTTGCACCTTTCCTCGTCCTCCATCTTCCTCTTCTTCTTCTCCTCTCTCCGTCTCTCCATGTCTATTCCTTTGTTTCTGGCTACTTTTCTTTTTTAGGCTGTCTGGAGGTCCTACTCATACGCATGTGTCGCGCCTTTAACAGCAACAACAACACCATCTTCTTCAATGGAAAATTTGCCTCGGCTCAGTTCTTCAAAGCTCTGGGTGAGGATCAGTTTGGGAAAGTTTTTGTGTACGTGTTGAAACACTCAAAAAGCATTTAGGTGTCTGAAGTTGTACATGGCTTAGGTAAGCCGGAGAAATGTTTTCTGCATACTATTGAATAGTGTATAATACCATTAATCAGCATAATCTACTTGAGAAAAAGTTCTTTTAGTTGGCTAACTTACTTTTTTTCTAAGAAAAGAACTGAGAAAAAAAAGAACTTCTTTTAGTTGCCGTCCTATTTACAGAATGACCTTTAATCAGATCAAGCCTGGAAAAGAAGTCAAATGTTTAACTCTAGGGTTTTTTTTTCTTCAGTATCACCATCATTATGCTACATCGCCACCTAGTGGGAGAAATTAAAGAATTTATACTTTGGTAGTTCACGCAGATATAGTGCTTTGTTTTATTTTACTGGGATTTTATGTGACGTGCCAACTCCACCGCGCATGCTGCAGAAGGAAATCACACACAGTTTTGCATAATTCCAAAAAGTCTCAATAAAATATTATAATATTTCTGGTTATCGCATGACAAAATGTTAAAATGCACAAGTACATTTACAAGATGCTGGCCAAATGACAACTCGGATAAACCTGGGAGAAGTTTAGTTTTTCCACAGTTTGCAGACAAAGAGGCCTCATTTATTCATTTTTACACTTTAAACCTAGTAAGTTGGATTTTAGTTCGGTGATGGAGTTAAAAAGGAACGGCAGAATCTCTGGTTCTCTATTCACTTATCAGGGTCTCTATGTTGTTTCTGCAGGGTGTGATGATCTGGTGAGCGCCGTTTTTGAGCTGGGAAAAGGTCTCAGCCGTCTGCAGCTCTCGGATGAGGAAATAGCCCTTTTTAGCGCTGCTGTTCTTCTGTCACCCGGTAATTATTTTTATTCTCTTTCACTGTGTCCAAGCATTTATAAAGATCTTGAAAGCATATGCACACTGTTTAGCAAAAAATTCTCATAAATATTTTTGTCTCATTCTGTCACTTGCAGTATTACAAAAGGGGTTTAATATGAAAAAAAGAAGTCAAAGCTAAATATTATTTAATCTTTTTATTCGAAGTTTATGTTGATTTTTTTAGATTATTCAGCAGAGGGTTTTTTTCCGTAACTTTATTTCTGTTTGTCAGCCTTTCACTCTTTTTGTGACAAAGCCACAACTTGGTGTGCATCATAATCACTTCAGTAACGGGTTCTGAATTAACTTCTCACAAATTATTAATTTGAACTCACAGTAGTTAAACTGCCATATAGAGAGAGATCTCAGCATTTCAGCCATTCAATAACCCTTTGGCTAAATGCATAAATCATCTGTCAAACAGATAAAAATGCATATTAGTTTAAAGTGATGTTGCAAAATCTGCAATCTGAACTGCATTCAAAATATCTGCTTCTGTAGATCGACCCTGGCTGACAGAAGGTCAGAAGGTTCAGAAGCTCCAAGAGAAAGTCTACCTGGCTCTGCAGCACAGTCTGCAGAAGAGCGGTGCTTCTGAGGAGAAACTGGACAAGGTAAACACAAGTAATCAAGCCGCCTTCTGCAACTTTATCATGCATAAAACTCATTCATTGGATTTGAATTTTTGAAGGTTTGGTCTGTTGCGAATTCATGAAAACGACCCTCAAACTTGGATGTGTTTTAACATATATAGAATATTATTGAAAAGTTTTTTTTTTCTTTCAGTAACTCAATTCACTACGTGAAACAGCCTTATATTAATTTATTACTCGCAGACTGATTATTTCCAATTGTGATCATTTTCTCCTTGGAGCTAAGGAAAACACATTTAATAACAGAATTAATTTTTGAAAAGACATTTTTGGTCTGACAAATTATTCTCATTGGAATATTCTGATCCAGTGACTGTATGTTAACATGCACTCTCATGGAGAAGGAAGCTGATTATGACGATATTTCTTTACTGCTGAGGTCTTACTATTGAAACGTTAGCATTGTCAAACATAACACTTTTAAAGTTTGGACAAGTTTCAGATATTGACAAATTTGAGCATTGGTGTCATAATGGCATTATAGGTATTCTAATTACATGAGTTTCTAGTTCCAAGTTGGAAATCATAATTTAGAATTACCCTCCTATGAAGTTCGAATGCAGAAAAAGACATTATTAGCGACAATTTCTAGGAGTAAAGAGCCTGATTGCTAAGAATAACATTAGGCAAATGTTTCCATTTTTTTTTCTCTTCGGACCTGGAACACTGTAGAATTGACTGCATGGTTGTTGTTTTTCAGATTGTAAAATAAATTAAAAGTAGTATTGGTATTTAAATGCTAAGTCATCATAGCACAGCCCAGAGCAGCACACTTCAAACAGAAGAAGATCAGATACACACCCTTCATGCAGACCACAATAAAAGAGCGATTAGAAGAGCTGACGACTGTGTGAACAAGGAAACTTTCCAGGAAGGGAGATTAGAATATTATTGTTCACTGTCTAAATCAAGACTCGCAGGGGAAACGCCTGTCACCAGAGGATCAAAAACACATAAAAATAAACGATTACATTTTGCTGTTACTTAAAAAAAAAAAATCCTTTATTTCAGTTTCACTTCTTTATCTCACTGCATATCTTGCTTTAAACTCGTACATTTGCTCATTGAATCTGCGTCGCTGTCTTTTCTCTAACAGATGCTGTCTAAGCTGCCCACAATGAAGTCCATCTGTAATCTCCACGTCGATAAACTGGAGTTTTTCCGCTTGGTTCACCCAGAGACTGCCTACAGTTTCCCACCGCTGTACCGGGAAGTGTTTGGCAGCGAGATGCCTCTGCCGGACTCCACCGACAGCTAGGCGGAGAGACGAGACGGGAGAGATGAGGAAGAGTGTAACAGAAAGTAGAGGGGGCAAACGTGAGACAGAAGAGCGGCAGAAAACCAGCGGTTATTGAGACAATCCAGGACTATAAATACTCAGTCTCCCAAAGTAGTCCTCCACTATCCCAGCAGCAGGCGAAGCACCTTACACTACATACCACACATGCTCCTGCTCTACTGCAAATTGTAGCATTGTAAAACCAGTGTGCGGGCGTCTTATTAAAATCACAGCAGCCCACACGGCATGTAACCGGCTCCGAGCGTTGATCCACTGGGGATCGCCGAACTAGTTATGAATGTACCTCTTCTATTAGCACCAGTGCACAAACGAGAACCAAACAACGATGAATGTACAATCCTGCCACTCGAAAGCAAAGCTTGTCACGCGGAACTGGCACGATGTCGATATTGGCGCAGACGTTGGTCAAAAAAAAAAAAAGTTCTCGATGGTTATGCATCTCAGAGGGATGTACGCGTGTTTCCATGCATCCTTTCACTGATCCGCACTTAGGGACCAAGATCACAGATCAGAGGTTCTTCTGACATGCATAGAAAAAAAGAAAACACGTAGAAACCGACTCGCGGCCTACGGTGAAGTCAGCAATCAGTTTCACTCACAGTAAATAGTGTTAGGTGCTGCCTTTTCGTAGGCTTTTGTAATGCAATGAAAAGACCTCAGTCCCACACACCCCCTTCCTTGTAAATGCCACTTAGACACAGGAAAAGATGAAACTATCCTTAATTTATATACACGTTTATAAGAAAAAAAATATTTTAAATAAGAATGTAAATAGATATCTATATATGACTTTATGGAAAGAGTAAGAGTGCGTGGAAGGGAAGAAAAAAGGAGTAAAGCGGATATGGAGGCACAACTGATATTTGAACTCAGATCCTTTTTTATTTTTTTATTATTTTTTTTTCTGGATGATTTTTTTCCCTCTCTTGGCAGTATTCTCAGGTTTCCACTGCAACAACCCCCTCTTGGCCCAACGGCAAAGGGACGGCCATCCTGCAAGTGAGGGGGGGTGGACACTTGTTGCTGATTTATCATAGCAGGGGAGAGGCAGAAAACTCGCACACAGCAATGAAAGGAAAAAAAAACAAATGCCCTCGCATTTTGAACTGTTGGCTTTCGCTCTGCACTGCTGCTGCCCGCCCACCCCTGCCGAAAGAGACTAGAGGACGAACGCGGACGTTAAGCAAAAGAGGCGGCGAGCCAAAAGACGACTTAACGGACTACAAGGCGACAGAGGAAACACTGCCAGATGTTTTCTGACAGGCGGCCAGGCACGGCAGGAATACGCTGATGTGTTTGTGTTTTGCCGAAAGCGTCGCATCCAGCTCCGGGCTGGGATTGCGATGGTCCATGTGCATCATGAAAACCTCTCTGCTGGTTGGTGCAACTGTATTATTTTGTACATTCGGAGTTTCTCTCCTTTGGTCCTACACCCGACACTTTTCCAAATATCAAGCACTTATACTTTCCTGTTTCTCACTTGACACTAGTCCAAGGCCAGACAGAGCTACCAGCTGCCCCCCTGAGTTTTGCTTCCATGCCAGTAAGACTTCAGTCGATCTGTTTTATTTTTTTCTTTGTTCGTTATTTTTACTCCATGTCAGCCACACACACAAAATAAAATAACTGTTTACAATTCATTCATGTACATAAAACACTGTTCCGAAGGTGATGACAACGTCTTACTAGGGGTGCTGTGTTGTTCTTGAGCAGAACATGAGGACCCACTGCTTGCTGCTCAGGGAGATGGCTGTAATCTCTTGTCCCTTTATTGCAAGTGTCATCTTTTTAGCCTTGTACTCCTCACACCCTTTGCACCTAAGACCCATAACCATAATCACTGTGGACGTAAGCTCTATTTTTGTGAATGTTAACCACAAAGTGTCAAAGCCCGTCTCTGTTTGTCCCAATGTTGTAACAATCAAGTTCGGATTCATAGGATTTTAAAACGAAACAAAACGTAAAAAAAAAAAAAAAAAAGATCAGTTAGTGTTCAGATGAAATTTTTATTATAGGGTTTCATGTTTCTTTTGCTGTGATTTTTTTTTTTTTTTCTCAGTTATTCGTCAGTCTTTTATCCACATTTTTCTCATGTGTCTCCACCTTTGGTCTCGTAAAGTCAGTGATCTATTTTTTATTTTTTAATTAAAGACATTTAGGAAAACATCAAACAAAAAAAAAGTATACAGTTTGACTCCCCTTTTTCGTTTCCCTAAATGACAAAATGTACTACAGGTATCTTACTAGTTCAAGAATAACAGAGTCACACAGCTCAATATATATTGTTGTCCAACCGGATACATTATATGTGGTTTTGAGAATGTAATAAATGGTTTCTTTTCCTTTGGAGATGTTGGTGTTTTTATTTGGTGTTCGTAACTTTATCTTTTGTGCTGGATTCATGCGAAGGTTTTAAGCCTTTATTCGTGATCCAGCATGTCCAAAAGGGAGTTTTGTAGTCAGAGCCATTTGACAAGCTACATGTTTAATAAGAATTAAATGAACATTTTAGATGAACAAACGTTCAGTGTTGCCACAATTAAATGGGAAAAACAATTTAGTATTATTGTTCGCTGGTGCTTTCTGATGTGAATAATAAGGCTCACCACCAGGGGCGCCAATGTGCAGGGGTTGGAAAAAATAAGTCAACCGAGTTGCCCACTAAAATACTTCAACTACTTTCAACTGAACAGGTTTAAAAAAAAAAAAAAAAAACATATTAAACCCGAATGGGTGAGGCATTTCCATCAATCCGGTTTCTTCAGCTTTTCTGAGGTCAGGTTGCAGGGGTAGTAGGGAAAAGTAGGAGCATCTTCTTGTACAAAAGGCCAGAAGGGTCTCCTCCCAACAGGACGTCAAAGGAAAACCTCCAAAGAGAAGCTCCCCAATCAGATGCCTGAGTAACTTCATGAGACTTCTTTCAAATCCAGAGGAGTAGCGGTTCTACTTCGAGCTCCCCCTACAGTGATGGTGCAGCCTCACCCTATGAAAGAAGGTCATTTCATTTAAATGTGTCCTTTCAGGCTTGATCCATGAGTCATTTCCTTATGTGTGAGCAGAAGGGTGAACAGATTGGAAAATCAAGAGGTTTGCTCTTTGGTTCAGCTCTTTCTTCACCACAACAGACCCAGAGCAACATGTGCGTTACAACAAATGAGACCCCCACCACCTACATTACTCATAAGTGAGACAGGACGATGCCGCTGGACATAGTTGTGGTGATTGTCTTTAAATTAGTCCTTTTGTCAAGTTTTCAACCAGAAACCTACCTCAGCAAAAGAAATACTGTCGGTCAATTCAGATTTCTGGTTTTGGTAAGGATGTGACAATTATTGATTACCGATATTTTTCCAACAACTTCTCCATAAGAAAGAGAAATGGCTTGCTGTCTCTCTTGTTAGATAAAAGATGCCATGGCAGGCTGTTGTGGAACTACAAAATGATCCTCATTTATGCATCTAAGCATAAATGAAGCACATTTCTCTACTGGATTTTAAGTCCATGTTCTTGATGGAGGCATTTGTTTTGACAGAAAAATATAGTAGAAATTCTGTGTTTTGACAGATTTAATGAACAGGAAGAAAAGAAAAAGCTTTTGATCCACTAAAGTCACTCCTGAAGTCACTCTTTCCCTTCTGATCTTGATTTCTTTCCAGTTGATTGGTGCAGCTCACGTAAAAAGGTTGTGGGCTGGAGGGAATGGTTATAGTTGGAGGGAATAGCTGCTCACCCAGTTTATTAATCTTGCAACAACAGTCACTATCATTCAACTGCACAGTGGTGCCATTTACTTACTATAGCCAGTAGGCTTTATTAGTTAGGGTACCTATCTTATCTGGCGCCATAAAGAAATTTAGATTTTGTTGCAGTTATTTTCTCTTAGAATCACCATCTGAGAAGCTGTTATTATTGCTTTCGATTAGTGGTTTTTTTCGATTAGTGTTTTTTTTTTTTTAACTAGATCAAATATTAACTCAAAATAAATAATATGAACAATGCACATGGTCAAACGTGGACTGAAGCTAAATTCCGTAATAAGGTGAATTATTTAATTACAGTAGTGCAGTAAAGTAATGTAGAAGGAAGTGGACCGACCCACTGTTGGTGTCTACGTGTGTGTTTTGAACCAGCTCGGTTCCGCCCACAATTTCCCCAAGCCAGGAAATTGTGGTTGCCTAGCAAGTTTCTTGTCCGCGGAGCAAAGTTTGGAGACGTGTTTTCTCGACAGATTTAGGGCTGTAGTCGTTCACAGAAGCTTTTTTTGCACACATTTTCCCGAGAGAGGACGAGGAGGAAGCGCTGAGAAGATGTCGGTCGCAGGACTTAAGAAGCAATTTTTCAAAGCCAGTCAGGTAAACGAGTTGACTTCTTAGACATTAGCTCCGCTGCTCTCCTACTTCTGTTAGCTACTAGGTTGCCTAAAGTAGAAAAGGTTTTCGGGAACCAAAACAAACCTTCTAGGTCTGGTAAATGTTTTGAATTAGAGAAGACACGAATTCGTGTTGCAATGAAACTCTTTAAACCCTCTCTTAAGTTAGTCTTAAATTAGCTCATGCTAATCTCAGGTTTAACTAAACTTAGTTGCCAAGGCTTTGCTCTGGTTAGTTAATTAGTTCGTCTGCCTGGTTTAGACTTGGGTTCTTCATTTTAGAGCTAATACCGTCTTTTAAGCAAAGTTTTCTTCATAAACATATAACCGGATATGTTTATTTTCTGGTAGTTTGTTGCCAAGTTTCGTTTTAACTAGATGCTCGCTATATTAGCGCCAGAGTACGCAGGATTAGCACCATCTGTTCGAGAGGTTTAGCTCTCCTAAATGAGACATAAAGGGTTTTAGACATTGCAGTGACTGTCGGGTTTTAGTTTTGTCTAGTCATGGGTTAAAACGTAGATTTTATATCGGTTTATCCCCACTATTGACATTTGAGGGTAATATTATGAGGATTCTGATGCAAGAGCCTAACTGAGTTGGTTGGTTCATTTAAATTGTTTACATTCATAAGCATATTAGAACTGTGTTCCTGCTTTATCCATAATACCATAAAATTTCATGGTCAATGTTTATTTATTTTAAACAAGGGTAAAAAAACAAAACAAAAGAAGATAATATAAATGAACTGGAATGTGTTGCATTTAACAGTTTTTATGAATTTGAATGATTTTTGCCAAGTAATTTAATGTGGCGTTCCTTATTGAAGACTGGATAATAAGGCTCCTCTGATTTTGTTGCATTTGTTCAGTCAAGTTTTCTGTAGCAGTCATCCTGTATTTTGAGTTGCCTCTGAAGGCTTGTGTGTTAAACATGTAATTGTTCATACAAGCATGTCATGACTTACAAAACCAGTCGGCTTTGTTTTGGTGGCAGCGTTGTTGCAGCAGGTGCTTGTTTTTGGTGGAACATCATACAAGTGAAGTAATGACTCTGTGCTCAGTAGGCATATCAGTGGCAGATACCCAATGTCATGTGATTGCAGATTATAGCCTGTAGGTAATTGACTGGTCTCACCCGAGATATTCGGACTTGTCACTCTGGGGAAATGACAGATGTAATAACGATGACTTCATTCAGGTTCTGTCATTGTTCTGGCTCATTCACTGGGATGGTTTACTGCAGCGATAAATAGAACTGAGTCATCTTTAATTCCGACCATACCTCCTCTAGGTTAAAGGTTTGTCCATTTAGTCATACTTCGTAGCTAACATTGATAATAGATGGGGAGTTGTACAGATGGTACGCTTTTGTATACCTCTACCATTGCAGTATGGATTGGTTACAACAGATGTTTACTTACCAAATACTGAGACGTGTTGCATCCATTTACAATCCAGATTTCTTTTGGCAAATGCCTGTAAAAAAAAAAAAAAAAAAAACCCACTGATGTCAACTTGTTAATCTGGTTTTAAAAGGAATGAAAATGAAGAGACTGATGACAAGTTTCAAGCAAAAGCTGCCTGACAGGTTCTTGTTTGCTAATAGTAGAAAGGAGTTGCTTTGAGATTATTATGTAAAAAATAAATACTAAGATAACATCTCTAAATTGTCTTTTTCAAAATATCTACATGGAAGATTAGCTGGCAACAGTTCCTATCAGCCTATTAAGATGGAAAAATACACATAACTGTGAAATCTTAATCATATGTTGTAGGTATGCTGCTGATGACAAATATATATAAAATATACAGATAAATAAAAAATAATATGCATATATTAATCAATTTTGGATGAACAATTTTGCTTCCAAGAAGCCTATTTACTTTGTGGTTTTTCAGACCACAAAATATCTAAAGTAAGAAAGATTTGCACTTGAAATAAAGGAAATTAGATACAAGCGGCTAATTCCAGCATGACAAAAAAACTGATTTGAAGCTCTTTAATAGTAGTCAAGTATTTTCACAAATAAAAAAGGTTGAGTACTTAAGAGTGTCAAATATGATATACTCCCAATGAATAGAAATTCATTTGACAACCTTTACTTTAAATCTAATAAGTGACCGTAAATACACCGTCAGCACAGTTGATCAAAATGAGATGAAATTAAATCAATTTTGACTGGCTTCAAGACTTCTTAACAATATAACACACAGGCATAACGCAGCTATTAAAACATATCTATAAGCATAAAATGGAGCAGCCTCTCTTACTTCATAGTGTGCATTCGGCAACTGTAAAAATAACTCGCAGCAACTTTGTCTCCACTGTTGGATCAGCAGCCGCCCCTCAGCGTTTTTTGGCTGCAAGTCTTGCATGTTGCTTGTCTTTCTGTGGTCTGCAGTGAAATCCTGTGATTTATCATCAGCAGCGTTGGTCTGCTTCCAAACTTGAAGCCACTCTAGCTTTTGAGAACTTTAAATCAGGCCATTTGACAGTGGATCAGATGCTTCACAGTTAGTCTAAAAACCTGTTTTTAGAGCCAACAGTTGACTGGAGCTAAACTCGTTTGACATATGGAGCATGCTCCGATGCATGCAAGAACCGGCAGACTGTATGTGGGGGACTATAGATGCACGTCAGTGTGACTTGACTGTGGCTTTTGTTAAAATGAAAAAATCCAAATCATTATATTGGCGGTTGCAGCTGACGTAATTAGCAATTTTTAACTTATCTTAACTTTTTTGCGTACTACTCTATGAAGCCAAAAAATAAATAAAAATAAAAAAAATGCTGAAACAACCCCCTTTTTTTTTTTTGCTGTTGAGTGTCATTGGGTTATACTTTATTCATGTTTGGGGAAGTTTTTGAGATGATGTTCATTCCAGACAAGCTAATTAAGTGGTTTTATTTAAACTAGAGAAAATAATTATCTGGTTAAATCCATCTGGTATATCTATATCTGTGTTCTAAATAACATGTAGACCAGCACATTTTCAGTCTTCTACTGAGCTTTGAACCACTTGTGTGTGTGTGTGTGTGTGTGTGTGTGTGTGTGTGTGTGTGTGTGTGTGTGTGTGTGTGTGTGTGTGTGTGTGTGTGTAAAAGAGAGATTGTAAAGTAACATTTTTGCACGGTGAAACAAAGCATTGCCTGTGGTCAAGATGTAGGAAACTGTGATGCATTTGCTGGCCTGATGGAAAAAGTGGAGAAGCCTTTGTATGAAATTGGAGTTCTTAAGCACAGACGTTAGGAGGTTGCTCGCAGTGCAAAAGGATTACTTCTCATAAATTATGAAGAAAAAAGCATGGAGCTTTATAGTCCTGGACCTTTTGTTCATGATCCTGAAACGACGACGTGTCCCTGTGCACTCCTTGGAGCTCAAAAAGTATCTGTTAAGTAGCTGAATTTATCAGGACGTAAATTAAGGTTTTACGACTTTAAAAATTGGCAGTATTTTGCTTTCTGTTATATTTGTTTAGTAAGGACAAGGTAGGTGTGAAAAGAAACTTATAAACATTTAGACCATAAATAGATTATTTAAATACATGTAAAATAATAATGCATTGTAAAAATCAAATCTAATAAATGAAGGGGAGTTGCACTTAAAGAATCTATGATACATCCATCCTTATTTGGCAACCAAGAAAAGACAAATGTTACAATAAAAATTTGGTCAAGAGGCCAAAAAAAAAAAAGCCAGTTTCAGCATTGTGGGGTTTGTGATTTGTACAACCTACAAATAAAAGCACTTCAAGATGGATGTTTTCTACTCAACGGTTGAAAATGTTATAAACATACAGGAAAATTCAATCTAGAAAAGTGTAGAAATTTGAAATGAAAACTCTTTGATACATATAACAAAGACATTAGTGTTTTTGTGAATGCTTTACTTGTAAAAATTAGTTTGTTTTCCATTCTTCCTATTCCAACAGAGCTGCCATAGGGAGGAGTGTCTTTAATATTAGTTTAGCGATTCTTTGATTCGTGCTAAAGCTTTTACCATTAAATAATAATTTATTAATGAAATCATGTCAGAAACAAGAGAATCGTGATAAGTAGAACTTTGAACTGTATGAACAAACACCTAACCTGCTCCAGCTGTCCTTTTGACCACAAATTTAAAAAAAAAAATATAGAAGCGACAAGTAGCATATTATTAAGTTGGGTTATGTCATTTATTGTTGAAAGTAATCCTTCTACTTGCTTTAATTCCACAGATGATGAGTGAAAAGGTTGGAGGTGCAGAAGGAACCAAACTGGATGAAGACTTTAAAGAACTTGAAAGGGTAATTACAGCATAATTAACTGGATGATCTTGCTCAAATCAAATAATGCTACCGATGATTCTTTGACAAATGTTCTTTTTTTTTCCCTCCTTTTTTTTTTTTTTTGCCTTCTCATATCCTCCCAGAAAGCAGATGTTACCAGTAAAGCAGTAGTAGATGTCCTTGGGAAAACATCAGAGTACCTGCAGCCCAATCCTGCGTCAAGAGCTAAGCTCTCCATGCTTAACACAGTGTCCAAAATCCGTGGGCAGGTGAACAGTCCTGGCTATCCTCAGCCAGAGGGGCTCCTGGGGGAGTCTATGACTAAATATGGACGGGACATAGGGGAGGACAATAGCTTTGGTAAGACTTGTGGAACCGTTTTGGGCATGTAGTGTGGACATTTTATCTGTAGATCTATCGATGTATATTATTTTATGTGCTTACAAAACAACCCTGTGTTAAGTCTGGGGGCATTTTTGGATGAAAACGGGAAACCAAAAACACACAGGAAGTGAAAAACGCTCATACTTCTCATTCTGTTTGAAAAGCACATTCAGCTGGCATTTGGTGGTGAACTTCCCATCTGTAAATGAGAGCTCATTTCGTTTCCACACAGCAACAGAAAACAGAATACAGTTTGTTGTGCTCGGTCAACATCGCATTTTTAAAAGCAGACCTAGTTTCTCTGTGGAGTTAATGTTTTGCATTCCGCTCCGTTTTACAATTACTTTATTTAGAACTCAGCTCTATTCACATTTAACACCAAACTGTATATGGAAGTAGAGAATAGCAACTAGATGTTCAAGTTGAACTAACGGCAGAGTCTGTATTAAGAATGTTAAATACGAGTAGAAAACACTGATGTTCTTCCAGACATGCCTCGTCTTTCTACGAAGTACAAATAATTTTCCTTGGAACTTTAGCATTATGAAAATCACAAACTAAACTGCAGCTGTGCAAATCTTTTTTTTTTTTTTTCTATGCAACATTGTTCCACCCCTGCTGGGGAAGGAACTTGTGTTTGAGAAAGGGTCTGCAGCGATACAGTGTGACTGTGCAAATATCTACTGATTTAATATTGACCCAAGGCAGTCATAATTTCCTACTTTTATACTTGTGTGTACGTTATAGGCGGAGCTCTGGTGGATGTTGGAGAGGCGATGAAGAGGCTGGCTGAAGTCAAGGACTCCCTGGATATTGATGTGAAGCAGAATTTTATTGACCCACTGCAGGCGGTCGCTGAGAAGGACATCAAAGATATTCAGGTAGAACAAAGATGTGATAAGTTTATCTTCATACAGGCTTTGCACTGAACTGCAAGGTTTGTGCTTTGTAAGGCAGGTGCACTGGGAAAAATAACACGCACACAAAAAAAAAAAAAAGTATAAGTCCTATTTCGAATGACATTTTTAATCTCACCCCTGTGTGTGTAACTCACAGCACCACTTAAAGAAGATGGAAGGCCGTCGTTTGGACTATGACTATAAAAAGAAGCGTCAAGGTAAAATCCCAGATGAAGAGATTAGGCAGTCCCTGGAGAAGTTCCACGAGTCCAAAGAGATGGCTGAGAGCTCCATGCATAATCTGCTGGAAACTGATGTAAGTTTGCCTTGGCTTGGTTTTCTGTCTTACATAAACGGATGTCACATAAGTTTTCATTTTTCTCTTTTAAGCTGGTTGAAAGGTGTTTAAGTTTACCGCAACTAATCATACAGAGGAGTCCATAAAACGAGTCATAGAGGACATGCTAAAGCAATTGGAAATAGTGAAGCAGTCTCCTACGTGATCATCCATTATGATCCATACAATATTGGGAATGTAATTTTATGCGGGGGGGGTTTTATGCTGTCTGGCAATGCAGTCTGGTATTTAATATGAGTTTTTTTTATTTCTATGGAGTGCAAAGGTAGATAAAACGGAGAGCAGCAGATGGAAACATGTTGGAGCCTTTATAATAAGATGATGTTCTTCATCTTTGCGTTAACACAGCAAAGTTCAGTTTTTGCCCATCTAATTGAACATTTTGGTTACACAGACCCTCAGAAAATACTAAAATAAGTCCACTGCCCATTTATCCTAAAGGTTTATGACTGGATCTGTGGCTGAGATTTTTACAAACATTAAACGAAGGTGTCAAAAACTGATTTTAGGATTCTGTGTTTGTCTTTGTACAATCCAAGCCAGACTTGATCAATTTTTTTTGAAATGGAGTCGATCTTAGTTTGAAAAATAAAGTGAAATAAAATGCAACTTAATTAGGTAAATTCTTTTCTAAACGGGCAGAATTAAAATAAAATAAAAAAAATTTAAAATTCAGGAAAAATCTAAAAAAGAAGATTATATAATCTTCAGTGAGAAATATGTAGAAACCAAAATACTGAGAGATTTCAGACCACATCATGATTTCGACACAATTAAGTCGGTAAAGTCAACTTATTGTATTTTGCTAACTAAATTGGTAGACTTTTTGTTGGAAGATAGCAACTCACATCAGTAAAAAGGTTTAAAAACTTGATATTGGCTTTCTCAGTTACACCAAATGAAGTGAAAAATGGGTACGGTATGTAAAAACATGATTTCAGAGTGGTGGATTAGATATTTGAAATATTCCTCTTGTGACCTTATTCCACATGTTGCAAAATGAATAAAGAATATTTAATATAATCCAGTGCTTATTGCATATAATCTTTTATTAGACATAAATTTCAACGCAAGATTTTACACTTAAATGAACAAACCTTATAAAATTGTATTGAACATGGCTTAAATAAAAAAATTGAATGCATTTTGTGTTTCTGTGACTAATCCATTAACAGAGTTTGCCCTCTGTAAATAAAAATAAGCTCAGATGGGTGTTTTTTATGCCTGCATCTTGAAACTGAGTCAGCACATCGAATCTTCAGGAACAGCTTGCTCCAGCTGACTTGCCTCTTTTTTTTTTTTTTTTTCCCTTGATGACTTGCTGTAGGCCAAGCTTGTCGAACCAGACATGTAAAAAACAATCTTGCGGAAAAACTGACTCTCCGTTCTTGTTGCTTTTGTATTTATCTTAATTGCTCTAAAACATTCTGCTGATTCACATGTAGGTGGAGCAAGTGAGTCAGCTGTCTGCCTTCGTGGAGTCCCTGTTGCAGTACCACAGGCAGGCCACGGAGATCCTGGAGGAGGTCACAGAAAGACTGAAAGAAAGGTCAGCTCTTTCACTGCCTTTACCGTTCACCCTGCTATTTAAAAAATGTGCTATTTTTTTTAAATTAGCTGTTGAATTAATCTATATGTTTTCCACGCAATGAAACTAAATACGTCTGATTTCAGGTCTTCGGAGTGCCCCTCCACAAAAAATGAAAAAGTATATATGTTTTTGGTGCTCATAGCATTTCTTTGGAAACCGCAATATTTAAAGGTGGCAGACACAGAGAGAAAATGAGTAGTTTTGCACCGACAAGCTCCGTACCTGTGGCTCCCGCTCAGCCGGTTGAGCTCCACCCTTCTTCACTGATGTCATGACCTAGTTATTCAGGAAAGTCCATAAACCTCGCCAAATAAGATTTATTCACTTAAATCTCATTTGTCGTCTTCTTCAGATTAGAATGTGTAAACACACCGACATGAGATTAAGTTTGTATCCCCGCAGTCTAGGGATACATACATAATTAGTTTTAAAGCCAAAAGTTCCAAGAAATGGATGGCAATCTCCAGACGGCTCAAGAAATTACTTCTGACAGTATATTGCCTGGGTCAACAACCTTTATGACCAAGTGTCACATTTGCCTTTACTGCTACTAAATGAAATTTGTGCAGAACCTACAGACAGAACTGAAAATATTTCTAAATCTCTACAGATTATGTTGTATTTTTACAGTGCCTATTTGTATCCATTTTATTTTTATTTTTGTCAGATTTTGCCACATTCCAAAAAATAATCTCAAGATGTGATAGACCAACACAAAATAGAGAATAACTGTGAAATAAAAGGAAAATAATGTCTAACAATGTGGTTTTGATTTTACTTTTACAAATAAAATCTGAAAGGGTGGCAAACACTTATGTTCAGAAAATCCAAATCTATTCCCAATGAAAGCCATTAAGGATCTTTTTTTACTTGCTCTGTACTTGCACTGAGATCAGAAATGTAATTTTTTTGCATTTTATTGTGATTTTGATGCAGGGTAAATGAAGCTGAGTCGCGCCCGAAGCGTGAATTCAAGCCTAAACCCAGACAGTCCTTTGACTATGGAGACCAAGAGCCCTCGAATGGAGGATACTCAGCAGGTCCTGTGAGCCCCCCGGCATACAGTGCTGGTAAAAACTACTTTTGTGTATTTTACTTGATCTTTGTGAGTACGTGCCAATCCATCCATCCCCCACCCCCACATCTTAGGAAAACATGTTGCACATCCGCATCACCCTTCTGACAGATTTATTTCCCTTTCTGCAACATTAAGCAGCCCAAGCACAGTATCCACCTCCACCCGTCAAAAGGCCCTCCGTCAAGAGCAAACCGCGTGAGTGGACAGAAGAAGATTACCTACTAATTAACCACAAAACTTGACTGCTTTCTTTTAACCTGTTGCACATGTGTGTGGCAGTGACATGGATGCACTTCTCTGGCTGTTTTTTTTTTTTCACTAACTCTGTTGAATGTTTATTGTGTCAACTGATCGAGCAGCACATAAAAGGGGAACAAGTGTTGACTGTTTCTGTTACCAGGTCTTCAGATGTATGGAATCGTCAGCAGCTCACATTCTGTTATTTTTTTATTTATTCAAAATTAAAGATTTTGAATGAAATTCACGGTGCAAAGTTGGCTGAATTTTATACATCTGACGACTTCTTCATCGACCACTGAAACTTCTGAATCTCAAAATCTTTGTTAAATTCAAAAAAATCCTACAAGTGCTCTGATTTTGAGCTTCTGAAGTTTTCTTGATTCATCACCTGAGAACTAATAAGTCATAACATTTCGCTTCCTCTCCTTTGAAACCTTCCATCAGTGGTGTTTTCAAATGTCACACTAGTGACACCGTGTGTCTGAACTTATTTAAAGGTTTCACACATTCAAACAGATTCTGATTGTACTTTTGGCCAACGCTGCGAGTCTGTGTCTTAGTAGCTGGACTTACGTATGCTTTCTTTTTCACTCCTTGCGTCTGTCGTCTTCTCTTCATGTCCAGGGGAGCCGACCTGTAAAGCCCTCTATGACTTCGTGCCAGAAAACGACGGAGAGCTGGGTTTCTACGAGGGGGAAATAATCACCTTGCTCAGGCAAATTGACGAGAACTGGTTAGAAGGAAAACTCCGTGGACAAACCGGATACTTCCCCAACAACTACGTGGAAGTGCTTGTGCCCCTCTCACACTAACAGAAGACGAGCAAGTCGGGAGCATCAGAACGGGGAAGATGGATGTTTAAAAATATGTCATCATGAAAACGGAAACATAGCAAGGAAATTTAAATAGTTTTTTTTTTTTTTTTGTTTCTTTGAGATATATTTTTTAGCAAACTTGGGAGACTTTCTGTCAAGATGGAATGGATTTGAAAACATAACACTAATCAGGAAAATGATGCATGATGTTTAGGTGCATTCGCCATATATTGCGTCTTTATAAAACATTCTTTGCACCTGTGCACTTTGTACACAACAGCTCCAGCTGAACACTAAGCAGAAACAGATGTCTAAGGGTGTAATGACTTTCTTTGTCTTATTCAGTTTTATTCACAGTATCTTGTTTGCTGAATCATGACTATTTGGAACTACACACACAATCATGTTTTTAACCTTTTCAACTATAGACTTGGGCACTAATGCACAAATCTACACAACACTACACAAAACTGATGTTCTCAGGCATTTGAGGCTATGTTCTACTGCCATCTGGTGGTTTTATGCAAATAGTTTTCTTGGTTTTGTATTTGTTTGATTAATCATGAGTTCTGTCTGACATGTTTAAGAACTTCATATTGTTCCAGCTGTAAGTGATGGCTGAATTTGGACATTAGGTTTGCAGGTTCTACTGTGATGGGATTATTTAGGATAAATATAAAAAAAAAACTATTTTATTACATTTATCACTCCTATTGCTGCAGTACGTTTATCTCTCAAGTCCGAGCTCAGGTCTGGATTGCACCGAGTGGAGCAAGATTTAGTCGCAGATTGGAAAAGCAGTGGGATTTTCTAATTGTGGTGCTAATTACTTTTCTCAATACAGGTTAATGACATAGTTCAATGGGTTCTGTACCTTAAAGGAACGTGGTAACTAATATGGGCTTTTCAGAACTATGTGTGTCAATGGTTTAAATGAACACAAACTGTGAGAATAATATTTATATCTACAACTTTCTCTACATTTTAAAAGTGCGGCAGCCATATTTGATTCAGAGCTACAAGCTGCTCTGGGACTTCCAGCTTTAGGAGACAATCTTGTTTTTAAAGATGGGGACTTGAAAGATCTAACTTGCAAATACACATTTTCTGACTTTTTGTTCCTCCGTAAATATCTGTACCTCTTTAAAAGCACTCCAGTTACGCTTCGAAACACTACTTCCAAACAAAGGTTGCTCGCTCTTATTTGTCCTTCCAGATGGCTGTGTTTCAGTCTAATTTTAACTTAAAATAAAATCTTCACAAGTAAAGGGACATTTGATTTGGTCTTTAAAATGAGCAACATTGCACCAAAGCCAACATGGTTTCTGTCTGTTCCTTTTTCCCCCCTCAGGCTCAGCTGATACTGCTGGCAGTGTCATTGCATTGTTGTATTTTGGGGGGTTGGTTTTTTTGGGGAGGGGAGTTTAGGGCTTTTTTTTTTTTTTTAAGGGTTTCTTCATGAATTTTCTATCTTATTTGCTCTCACTCCTCAGCTCTGTTGTAGTTTGATTTGGAGCATGGAAATGTGTGGTGATGTGAGCTTGGCGTTGCTGTACCTGCCTCTTGCTTTCAGACGTAAACTATGCATCAGACCTGGATGGAGGATGCTCTCTCCCAGTCTCTTCGTACCAAATTTACAAAAAAAAAACAAGGGAGATCTGTCCACAATCACTGGTTTCAGTTCCAGTTAAGCCTATTACAATCAAACTATGAATTGTCATGGTTCATGCTGTTTGTTAAAATGCCAAATTTTCCCCCCTTGTCATGATCCCCTTGTTAGACTGCCCCCCCGCCTCGCTCATCTCTGCCGTCTCTATTTAAAGTGCAAGTGGAACAGACAGGTCTTTTTCTGCAGAGGAGGGGACACGACAGTGGATTATGCCCTCCCCCCACCTCTCTATTCACCACCTGCCCCCTTACTTCTGCCCCCTTTCCTCATTATCTGTCCCATCTCAAACCTACGGTGCCTCTGATGCTCAGACTCGTATGCATACTTTGAAATATATCCGCACTGCCTGTCCTTCTGCAGACCTCTTAATGTGTCTTATTGGTGATATGTTTCGGACCCTTGCTGTGCTGAGTAATAACTGTGGCTCAGGTGTGGGTTTACGTGCCTCATTAGACTAAAGCAAAACCCCTTGAAGAGAGGCAGAAGGTCTGTGACTCGGCTTAGATCAGAGATGATGAATGGTGCTGTAGAACAAAGGGCTAAGATCAGGTTTTGTGTGGGGCTGATGTCACAGCTCAGAGCCGACTTTACGATACTATATATCAGCTTTGCAATACTGATGAAGTATTAACAGCTTTAAAGCTTTATTTCATTATGCACAACGTTAATGGAACTATTCAGTGAAATATATAGCCTTTTTTTTTATTATTTGTATGTATTTGTAAAATGCTTTTGATTTAATACCTTTCCGTAACTGTGATGCTTTGGGAAGAATAAACGTGGGATTATCCTGGATTATCTCCAAAATGCGTGGATTACCTCTATACTAGTCAAAGTGTAATCTTATGTATTGTGTGTTTTATTGTCCGTGAATAGATGCTGTTCATTTTCCTCCAATAAATGTTAAATATTTCAACCCTCTGATGAGCAGTTGTCATTTTTAAATTGGAAAATGATCAACTGTTTGAATTATTCATTGACTGTCCTGATGCGCTTCTTATTTACATGTATTTATTATTGAAGTGGATATCATCCCACAGTGTTTTTGCTTCGTTTTTTTGTGTTTTTTTCCCATGTGGTCAACCCCACCCCTATCCATGACCCCCGCAGAGACAGCAGCCCGTATCACCCAGCTGTTGGGCTGTTGCCAGAACACTATCTCATCGGGGAAGGCGTGTCGGTCCCCGAATTACTCAAAGTCCCTTTGTCCTCAATCAGTGCCCAGCCTGCGACACTCATGGCGGCTGCACCCGTCAGGCAGCGCTGCGGCTCGGGGGGGCCCCGTTCCCAGCTCCCACCCTGCTACTTTGAGGGCTACCTGGAGAAGCGAGGACCGAAGGAAAAGGTAGGTCCAGTCCACCACACCCCGCCCGGGGGCATGCAGCAGGCTGCCGGGGATCAGAGCGCGCTTGCGGTCGGTGTGGGATGTACGGGCGCGCCGCCGCCTGCCATACCCGGCGGATCCACCATTCCCTGATAGCTGTCAACTTCCTTGTGCTGGAATGGGCGAGGCGATCTGAGCGCTGGTTGCGTGGGCATTTCGTTTCCCACCAAACGGATGGGATTGTGACAGCGGGTCGGCAACTAATCACTCGGCGATCGTGGGAATCGAGGAATCTGTACTGATGTCAAGACGCTGCGTGTCTTATCTGGGGAACCGTGCATTTCTTGGCTGTCATCAACATTACATTATATGCTCTAGATGTTGCAAACGAATGCCTGACAATTTTTTTTTTCCACATCACACAGACTCCAGTGACACTTAAAGTCTTGTAATTCCTTGAACTGCATTTTTAAGTAAAGTTGCATGCAGAAATTCTCAAATATTTCTTCTGCCTTTTGTCTTATTTGATAGGTGAGGTGACAAAGACGCCCCTCTCCTTCATGCCCACCCATCACTGATTAGGCTCGTTTTAATCCAATACAGGCTCGTAATGTGACACTGGCTCAGGTGCAGGATATTACAGGGATCCAATTGTATGTATTGGTAGCAGCTGAGACTCATTTAACTATCTTTCTCTTGGGACAGGAAATGGGAATGAGAAAGGGGCAGCGGGGGAATATCCATTGCACAACTGGCTACATTTATTGGCATTTAGGGTAAAGTTGTATAAAAAGCTTTTAGTTTTCCATTTTATTCCAGTGTAAAAAATACTTTAATGCTGGTACATTTGTTCAGCGAGTGTTGCCAAAGCTTTGTAAAAGCACCTTTTACCAATAGGACTTAAATCAGTGATATAAAATTAAGGTTTTAATACACAGAGAGGAATCTTTGACAAATCCACTTAAAATTTTCTTGTATTCTCTCGTCTTTAGTTCAGCACACAGTTTCTCAATAGCGTGCATATAGGGGGTGGCATGCCCAAGGAAAAATATTTTGTATCTTTTAACATTTTTGATTTGCCCATATATTCTGGATTATTATCAGAATATAATGGTTTATAATACAATTGGTTTAAATGGAAAAAAAGAGCTGGCTATGGATATTTTTACTTGATTTTTAAATATATATATATATATATATATATATATATCTGGTATGTGGTTGCCAGATAAATACGGGTCCTCGTTCTGTCTACAGTGGCAAAAATAAATTGAGCTGTGTGTTACCTCCTGCTTATACCACAGGGTAAGAGAAAGTTCTGGATTCCTCAGTGAAAGTTCATAGACTCTGATCAACTTAAAAAAAAAAAAAAAAGTGAAATTTCTAAAGTGTGTTTGGGCAAGATATGTTAGTGATGTAAAAAAAAAATATGTATATATTTCTTTTAAGGTTTTTGACACATATTTTCCAGAGATGTGAATAAATGTAGCCAGCACTTTGCGTGGAAATCTCCTTTATTCCAACAACAGCTCATCTATGCTTCCCCCCCACCCCCCCCCTCATGTCTGCATATGACAGGCTTCCAGAAGGCTTTGGACTTGCCTTTGTGGGAACTCTTTGTATTTCTTCAATAACGCTAAGGATGCTCATGTAAGTTTCACCCTCTGTACCTTCTTCTCTATGTCTTTAATGCGTCACATTGTGCTGACACTAAACGTTTTCTGTGTGGACCAGTATGTTGAGAAGCTGGACCTCAGCGGGTTTGTGTCCCTCAAAGATGACAGCAGCCGAGACAGAAACTTGGAAGCAGCGAGACTCATCCTCCGCATGAAAGACGGGGAGACCAAATTCACCGTATGCCTCTCAACGAACTCATACAGTTATTTGCATTTTTTATTTTTTTTATCATTTGAAAGATCTTCACAAGTATTCAAATGTGCGATTGTCTCCCTCAGGCACCAAACTTGGAGGCCCGGGAGCTGTGGAAAGGTTTCCTCTACTCCGTTATAGATGTGAATATCAGCCTCCTGCATTTCTTTACCAGAATCTTTTTACTTAGTGCCGTAATGCAAATATTCTTTGATCGTTTGAATTGCAGCTGAATGTCCCGTCTAGTCTCACGTTACTGCCGGGCCAGTTCCAAATGCTGAAGGAAGTGGTAGAAAAAGAACGGACCAGACGGAGAACCCGTAATCCCGGACGAGCTCCTCCTTCACCCCTCTCTGTTCCCTTAGTGGGCGAGATCCCTCCGTGAGTTCTGCTTCCCTATCACATTTAAAAAAAAATAAATAAAAAAATACTTCATTACTAACGTGTATTGTTTTTAATCCACAGGTGTTTTCGTCCAGTGTCACGCACAGAAGCTGAAGTACTTTTGGAGAGACACCCGGACTGTGGCAACATGCTCCTCCGTCCAGGTCGAGACGGATGCTCGCTGGCCGTCACGACCCGCCAGGACCTCAATGGGTAAACCAACACTCGACATGTGGAGAGCTAAGCAGCATAAATGAATCAGTGATGCAACTTCTATCTTTGTCTCTCCTTTTTATCATCCAGGTCAGTGTTCAGACATTACAGAGTCACTCAGAGAGACCAAGGTGGTTATGTTATTGATGTGGAAAATCCTGTAAGTGTGATTCAGTTGTCAGCATGGACTACTGAAAATGTTGAATATCTGACCAGTATAAATGACAGGACATGTCGCTGAAAGTAGCAGTCAGAGCATTCATTTAATACATTTACCTAACCTGCCTGAACTGCCTTGATTTTAGCTGTGGGCTGCAGTGAGATTCTTCCTTGAGTAAAACAGTTTGCAGTGTTGATGGGCAGATTTATGTCATTATCAGAAAGAAAGTAAGTTCAGGCAGAGCCGAAGCCTAAACCTATTGAAAAACGCTTCGCTCAATGACTATCTAGCTTTTTATCCATCTGATCCTCCTCTGGTTGAAGTCGCTGATCCATTCCAGTTCTGATTATGAAAATAAACTGATCAGATTTTGTGGACAATTTCAGATTTCTCTAAATCTTCCTCCTTTTTTTTTTTTTTTTTTTTAGAAGAATAGTTGTTTCCTTTCTAGGATTGTCTTACACCTTCTGTGCTTTCTCAATCATATCTTAGTCAAAAGACCAACTTGATGCTCCTCCAACTGTAAAAACATCCACGCCAAAGAACTCAGTGACCTGGTGTGTTCACTGACTTAAAAAAAAAATAGATTTTGTCTTTTGGTTTCCAAACAGCAAAGTATCAGGGTCATTCAAATGTAAATTCTCTGATTTTGGTAACTGGTTGTTTTCTCAGCGCATCACTAAACACAAGTAACAAACTGATGTTAGCTGGTTGTTTAGCTAGGCTATATGCTCCAGCAGAGCTTGCAGTCAGCTGCTTGACAGACCTCCTGTAGCTTGCCCATTGCAGTGTTTGGAGTAGTATGTGCTCTACAGATCTGGAGAATCCAGTCTCTCTAGTGTGCAGCTGAACTGGAAACAGTGATGTCACACTGTTGCAGCGCAAGAGTGATTTATGTTCATTCTGCGGTTGGTTAGATAGTTTTGAAGCAGCAAAATGTCAACCCTGCCCTTACAACACGTCAATGCACCGACTTTGGAGAAGTGAGAGATTCTTAGGTTATTGTTTTCACAAATGGTTTTAAGACATATACTGAGAACGAGGTGCGCTTGACAGTGTTTGTGGTGACCAATTTCATTGGTTTCCAAACTGGGACTTGCACGCTGAAGTACAAAGGTTTTACTGGCTAACGAAAATATTTGCTCCAAAAGGCAAGTCTTTGTATACTATGACAATTAGTAGCTTATTAAGTAACAGTCAGTTAACTGCAAAAGTATTAATACCTGCTAAACACTTTTTATTTTTGTGAATTTGCAACAAAAAACTTCAATTAGTGAGATTTTGTGATGGTCCATCCCATAGCCTTCATTATTAAATGGACTTTTTTTTCTTTTTTTAATGTAAAACATTTGCAGTAAAAATTGAAAGAAAGTATTTTAGTGTTGATTAAGTAGTTTAATAATTTTCTAATTTAAAAGACGATGTAAATAATGTTCACTTTCAGTTAAAAGTTGAAGTATTCTGTGACTTTGTCCTTACCCTTTCCTATCAGACAGTGCATTTTAAATGTATACATTTTATCCAAATTGGTTTTGAAAATGTTTTGCGAAAGATGAAAAAGATTGCGTCCTGCTGCAGATTCCCTGTGCAACACTGCATGACGTCATTGACGCCTTGGTAGAGAAGACGGCGGGCACTCTGCAACCGTTCCTTCTGGAGGAGCCGTACGAGGAGAATATCAGTGAGAAAACACACAGAAATACACTCAAAAAAAAAAATAAAAAATTTCCTGCCTCTCATGGCTTTTTATTCAACTTTCATGAGTAACCTATAACTCTAAACACGCCAAATTTCTTCATGTTGTTAGCATATGTTTCTGCTAATGATGAAAATGGAGAGAAGATCCTCCATACTGCCCCCTCCAGCCCCTTACCCAGGGTCCCCGCTCTGCCTCCAAAACAAGGTTTGTCTTGGCCATTGAAGTCCTCGTGCAGACGGAGACAGACTGCAGTGATATTTTTCTTTTTTTTTTTTTTTTTTTGGGGCACAGACCGTTGGTGCACGAGCCCTCTGTCCCGGTCCCCGGCCGCGGATCGTCGAATCCTGACCTCACCGGTACCAGCCTCTCCCACCAACCCAATGAGGCGACTCATCTTGTCCCCTTCGCCTCTTACACAGAGTGAGTACAACGGTCTGCCGTCTCTACCTTCAGCAGTCGGACGTTATTTGGCTTCACTGCTTTTTTTTTTTGTTTGTTTTTTAATCTGTTCCCAGCACTGAATGAGGAGCTCAAACTTACACTGGAGAAGAGGAAAACCAGCCAGGACTGACATGAGGAAGATCTTCCAACTTCTTTTCAAAGCAGCTTCAGCGTGTTCTCATCCGGTGCCTTTTTGGTGGAGAATAAGTCACTACAAAGCCTCTTCTTTCTCCTGGGACTCAAGGGGATAAAAAAAAACAAAACAAAACAAACTCTGTCTCATAAAATGGTGCTGGACTTTTGCTTTATCTGAATGCATCCAGCTGTTACCAACTGCCTCTACGACCAATCACAGTGCCACGACAACTACAAACCTGCTAGTACATTCCAGACCACTAGCTGAGCACATTGTTAATTATCTGACTGGCGAGATGCTGAAGGTTCTGCTAATAAAAATACAAATACAAGCAAACCACACACTACAGAGATCTACACCGGAGCAGCTGAAAGTCTCATCTCCAACGATTTACCTGCAGAAAGAAAGGAGATCCAGCTGTTTTGGCCCAGAATCTTTCGTCCTCCTACCATTTACGACAAGACTGATAAGTAATCCAAGTCGAACTGAACAGGAGAGAAACTGAACTCTGCACAACTTCTCTGCCTTCTGCTCCGCGATCTCTTTGAGGTCGACGAACGACTTTCATCTCGTTGCCGATTGTCGACAGTGATTGTTCTTGCTCACCACTCGGCTGCTAAGTGATCCACGTCTGACCTGCTGGATTCGCCTGCTACTGTGTCTGTTCTGTTGTGTGACGCCTTTGACTCCCCACTTCTCAGCCACGTCTGTAAAATTCGACTGATTTATCTTCCTTCACCAAAAAAAAATGTCCCAATCTGCCTCCTGGTGTACTGGCTGTAAATCAAAGCGACAGAAACGTCATCAGCACGCCATCTCTGCAGAAGCACAAGTGCCTGATGAGTCTGTTTGACAGCATTATGTTAACCTCTATTTCTCTAAGGTGTTACATTTGATGGTGCTTAAATGTAAAGTGCTTTTACCCTCATATTTGACATTTTTGTCCCCCTCCCATCCCTACAGATTGGTATCAAACTGTGAACAACTGACTAATAAGTGTCTTCATACGATGAACAATTTATTGAATGTTTGTACATAGGGTGTTATGCATACATGGTTATTATTAAAAATGTGTGTTTTTGATAATTATGGAGAGCGTTAGATTTCTTCCTTGGGTCATTTTGTGATAAAATGTTTGTCTGCGCAGACCTTTTTTGGTTTTAAATTATTATTTTTATTTAGTGAGCGTCTTAGTGATGGAGAGAGAACATTGAATTAAGAAAAGAATGGGCATCACGGCCACTAGGAAGACTGCTGACTAAGCTGCTGTCCAAAATGCAGAGATTTGCTGTTCAGAGTACTGTCTCCAAGCATATCAATGGAAAGTTGGGTGGAAGGAAAAAATGTGGTAGAAAAAGGGTAAAGAACAGGGATAACCATCACTTTGAGTGGTTTGTAAAGTAATGTCCATACAATGCTTTGGGAGAAGATTGGGATATGCTAGGTGGGTATTTAAAAAATAAAATCTTGCAAATATCCTTCAAATCCAAATTTGTTCTTTCATAATTCAATAGTCAGGACATATTACATATTTCTAATAGGATTTAGAAACCAGAGGCAATGCTGGAACTAATGCTAATGAAAAATACATTATTCTATTGGATGGTACACTGAGTGGCAGACATAATTAAGAAATCATAGAGGATTTTTTTTTAAATTAAAACTATTCCTTTAAATGTTACATAATACTAATAAGCAGCTGTGATTAAATTGAAATACAGAAAGTGAGTCCTCAATGTTTTAATGACTATATGTAACTGTCTTTATTTTTGTTCCATCTTTGTATTACACAACAATGTTCAGGATAAACGTCGGCTTAAAGTTTGAACACAATAGTTATTTATTTTTTCAACAAGGAATTATGAAGTGAGACTGAACATCTGCCATAACTCTGAAAGTGAAATGTTTCTGTTCCTTATTTTAAAAAGGAAACATGACACAAAAAAAAGGATTTTAAAATAGTGACGCTCTTACCTGACAGAGATGCCACCACGTGATGCTTTATGAAATCTGTTAATTTAACCTAAAATATGGACTGCAGTGCTTATGTGTAATGGCACACGGTTCAAAGGAGATATTCAATAACATTATTTGATTATTTACACTGCCCTTCCGAGACCACTGTAGGTCTATATTTTTCCGTACTCCTGCAAATGATAAAATTAGCTATTATCCATTAACAACCTTAGTCCTTACACAGATAAATAGCCTGCACCCTTTCATTTAGTCCTTTGGCTGCATTGTCTGTAAAGCTGCACTTAGATGAGCTGCGCCCTCTAGCGTCTGATAGTAGTGACCGTCAGCAACGAGAACTTGATTGGACCAGAGGTCAGCGCCTTCAGTCGCCGCCTCAACAGCGGTGTGTGAACGCAGAGGCAGCGACAATAAAGCGAGAGGAGGACAAACCAACTTTTCGTATGGTACGTTTTTTTTTTTTTTTTTTTTTTCCTAGCGGAAGTGGGTACAGAGAGATTCTTCCTCTCAACTGAGTTCTCCTCCCGTGTGTGTTCATAAAGACCCGCCCGAATCAGAAAGGACGGGCTGCGGAAGGGTCAGAGAAGAAGCTTTTTTTTCTTTCTTTTTTTTTTCTTCCCCCAGAGGGAAGGGAAAGCTGCTCAGTGGACTCACTCACACGTCTTAAAAAGGTATGTTTAAACGTAAGCTGCGGCTGTGTGCATTTTGTTTCACGATTTTGCAAAGCCGTCATTATTACAAAAGCAGGCATGTAAATGTGTCTGAACAGGTGCTGGTTAGTTTAAATTGCAGCTTCCGCAATCTTGGGTGTTTCAGTGCGCAGGTAAAAGACTCGGCGTCTGTTGACGGTAAGCTAAACTTTGAAGTTCCTGTGTTTAGTTAACAGCTTAACCAGCTTAAGGAAGAATTGGTATTTTAAGATGAATGGTACTAAGGAGATCAGTTTCATGGAAATTACAAGACAGGTAAACTTATTAGAGTTAGAACAAATATATATATATATATATATATATATATATATATATATATATATATATATATATATATATAAATTGCAACATCTATTTATATACTTATTTATGTTTAATTACACTTTATTTATTTTATTTTTTTTTTCCATTCTTGTACCATGGCACTGATAAACAAATTACTCACTCCTATTACCTGCACTCCTATGCACAACAACAAAAGTCAAACCGGTTTCCTGCAAAGTCTCATAAAGTTTTACATCTAACAATATTAGTTTGTGGCCTCAGAAAGTGCTACGTATGAATAGATTTTCCACTATTTGTCTTACTGTCGTAAATCCCAAATTTTGTGTTTCTTCTCTCAAGGATCATTAATTATGTATGCTGTGCCAAAACTACAACTCGCATTATGCAGGGAAGCAAGCTTCTAAAGAATGCTGCCAATCAAGGTGGCTTATTGGCATGAATGTAATTTTAACCTATTCAAACCAGTTTTAGATTAAAATTTTAAATCAAAATGCTGTTCAATATATCAACATTAACATCCGCGTTTGCCAACGTTAGCCAATTTTTAACATTAGCTAATTTTTAACATCTTTATTGCTCCAATAAGTGAAACTGAGCCAACATTATTAATAAGTGATATTTATGTACAGTTTGCTGCTACATGTGTTTTGGGAGAGGATTGGCCATGTGGTGTTTGTTTAGACATATGGCAGTAATAGTAATGCAGCACAGAATTATGGGGAGTTTGGCTGAAGTAGTGAAGCAAAGTCAGCGGTGTAGTGGGTTTTGTCGAAAGTGTTGGGGAAATATACGTCATATTGGTTATTAGCCAAAGGCACAATATTAATTTTGGCTGAAAAAAACAGAAAAAATAATTATACTAAAAAAAAAAAATAATAAAAAAAAAATAAAACATGACCAAACCTGAAAACGTCTCACTTAAATTAACATGTTAAGAGTTGCTCTTTCATCCACTGCACTCTTTTCCCCTTCGGTGACAATATATTCATGTGTGTGAAATCTTAAACTGCTGCTACAGCTTCTGGGCCATAACCTGCTCTTCCTGCCCTGAGATGTTTTCCTGAGGGCAATATTTTTGACCTGATTATTTTTATCTGTTGGTGAAACGTTGCTGTGAGTACCTGTCATAAAGCCTGCAGTTTACTGCCGTAAGATGCTGAAGTCAGGTAGCCGAGGCGTAAACGCACTGAAGTCACATGCGTGAGCTGGAAGAAAACCAATTTAAAGCTAATAAAATTGTAGCTAATTTGACTAAACTCTTAAGTCAAATATTAAGTTGCAATCTTTCAAAATTCACGTAGGTCTTCAACGTGAATTATTAAAGTCATACGAATAACTTCCTGAAATGTGCAAAACTCCCAAATCAGCAGGGTGATGTTTACGCCCACCAATCACCACGCATCTCGCTACTCTACCAAAAACTGGACTTACCGCAGGAGCGTAAAATCTCTACAGTTCCATATGTGTGTGCATGTGTGAGTGCATGCATGCGCGCGTGTGTGTGTGTGTGTGTGTGTGTGTGTGTGTGTGTGTGTGTATGAGTGAAACTGGCTTTGGTCCAGAATATGTGAAAACATCATCTCAGGTCCGCATTCTCTGACATGCTGAGGCTCATCACGACAACACGTACACCAACAAACCTCTGGCACACACACACACACACACACACACGCACGTCCTCCTCAGCTGGAGCCTAGTAGTACAACCCGACAGAACACGTACATTTGGTAAAGTTAGAGCAGTGTAATTAAAGTTAAATTAGTTCAGAAAAATGTCATGTGTTTTTTGGGGGGGGGATTTTTTTGTCGTTTTTATTTTTAATCGTTTCATGAGACCGTTTGTGGTTATGGTGTTTCAGTGATGTAATATGTGCAAGACTTCTTGTGTGAACAAGTAGGCATTTTGCAAAGTCTTTATACTTGAAACATCTCTGAGCTGAAAACCTCAGCGCTCACCCTCTGCGGTATACAGGGTCTTCGGCGCTGCAGAAGAGCTGAGCCTGACATCCCAGCACCCTGCTGAAGGCTTTTCATGGCTCTGCATTAACATCACTATGGCGTTGACAGAATTACTGCTGTGCTGACTTTAGCTCACTCTGCTTTGTTTTTTTTTTTTTTACATCCTGTGTTTTGCTTTTGCTTGACACTTTTTAGACCTCCTCTGTCTCTGGTCTGAAACATTCATACGACTTTCTCTCTTTCAGCCTTCGTTGGCATTGTGTCTTCGGTCTGTCTCATCCGTCTCACCATGGACGGCCCGCTGAGCGGGGCCAGTGAAGGGGCCGGTGCCCTGCAGACTTCATCACGTCACAGATGCCCCTTGCTGTCTTTATCCCTGTATGAATGACTGTTTTGGAAAACAATAAAGCCCCCGAAATTCCTCTTTGATTGAACAAAAGGAGCCATGCATCCGCTGGTGTCCCTCAGTGTCTTCGGACTGCTGCTGCCCGCGGCCTTGATGCGTGTGGAGGACTCGGCCTTGGACTGTATCCCACGCAGATCTGTGCCCAGTAACGGTGAGTGTTGCTCTTTCTTCTTGCGTAACCTTGGTTTTTGAGTGTGCGTCGTCAGCTCGCGTTTGGACCGACTCCCTGGTTTAAATGCCGAGTTAAGGACTCTTCTGTCTCCAGGCAACAACGCCCTTCTGTTTCAGGAGGAAGGCGTGTTCAACTACTCCACCATGCTGCTAAGAGAAGACCTGGACCTGTTGGTGGTGGGTGCCAGAGAGGCCGTGTTCGCTCTTGATCTCAGAAACATCTCCAGGAAAATTACTTCAGTAAGCACAAACCCAAAACTGATTCTCTTAACCAACAGCTCTGAGTCAGGTTGTTTCATGCTTTCACAAATGTTGTCTCTTCCCCCAGGAGTCTGTGTTTTTTTTTTTTTTTTTTTTTTATAAATTGTCTGTAACAGATCAGCACAGAGGAGCACCAGATTGTAACATGAAAGAAAATAGTGCATGGTTTTCCAAAGTGTAGCAAGCATTTCTATTAATTGACTTGATAAATGTATAGTAATAGTATTGTACTAACTATACACATCTAGAGACTAAGATTTTTATCCATTCTTCAACATAAAATGGTTCATGCTCGGTCAGCTTTCAGGTCTATTGTGTTTGGGTCTGGCCTTTAACTAGGCCGTTCAAACACAAAAGTGTGTTTTGATCCAAACCCATGACTTTCAAGCTGTGGCAAACCAGCAGTTTATCGTAGCATTTTACAGCTAAGGGCAAAATTATTAATACTAATTTTGGCCTCTCAGTCTAATATTTAAAATTAAATCTCTTATGCCCCTAGATGAAAATGAGACCAAAGTCTCCAAGAAGATAATAAAACGATACAAAAAAAAAATCTTATTTCTGTGTGTGTGTGTGTGTTTTACTAAAATGATAATTTAAAAAATATATTTTTTTACCCTTCTGCATAGTCAGTGGAATTTTCTTTTTGGCATTAAAGCAACCAAACTCTTTTTATAATTGCTGACCAATTTTCTACTGGTATTATGACAATGAGCTCCAAGCCTGCCTCCTCAGATTCTGTATATCACATTCAAGTCGTGATTCTGGCTGACCACCCCAAAATAATAATTATATTATTTCTAGTAAAAACAACAACAACAAAAAAACAAAAAAAACAAACATGTTTGTTAATTAATTTACATAAATAACCCTTAATGGATCCTGTATTAAGGGTCAAGAATGACCAATTAAGGCAGACATCTTTATCTGGTCTCTTCTAGAGTTCAACCTATTTACAGTTCCAGGTCACTCCATACAACCAGGAGCATCCAAAAAAAAAAAAAAAAACTTGTCTCTGTGATGTAGCAAAAGATTTTCTACCATTGGGGGGAAAAAAACCCAAACATTTTATTAAAAGGAAAAAATAAAACAAACAACAATCGGTGGTTTTGCCCTTTTAGGTTGAATGGAAAGTTCCTCCACAGCAAGTGGAGGCGTGTGGAAGTAAAGGAAAGGATGCAAAGGTTGGTCGCTTTCCTGGCACATTGCAACATTTATAACTTGTTGGATTTTTAAAAAATCTATTTAAATTGACATTTTCAGACAGAGTGCAAGAACTATATCAGAGTAATCCATGAGATGACGGATGGGAAGATGTATGTGTGTGGAACCAATGCTTTCGATCCAGCATGTAAGAATATGGTAAGAAATTCAAAGCTGCTGTAATGTTGTTTTTTTTTTGTTTTTTTTTTCATCCTGATCATTTTGAGGACTTGCGAAATAAAGTCATGGTTCAGCATTGTCCGCTTCTTGTCGCAGTCTTACGTAGACGGGAACTTGACATTTACGGAACCCGCAGAAGACGGCAAAGGAAAGTGTCCATTTGATCCGTCCCAAAGACATGCCTCCATTATGATAAGTGAGAAGAAATTCCGAATTGCAAAAGGTTTGGGGAAAACTAGAAAATGCCACTGGTGTTTTTATTCGAATCTCATTTCCTGGCAGAGAATGACCTCTACTCAGCCACTTCCGTAAACTTCCTTGGCTCTGAGTCGGTCCTGATGCTCAGCCCGTCTGTCAACCCCCAGTCCGGCCCCATACGCACGGAGATCAAAACCTCCTGGCTTTACGGTAATACGGAACCAAAATGTCGAGGAGCATTTTTGATTGTTTTGGTGCAAAGGCACAAGAAACTGTCCAGGTAGTGTGCGTTTGGTTGCCTTTTAACGTGGGAGTTCATTCAAAAATGTCCTGTGCCCTTTAAAATTTAATGAAGTAATCTTAGTCCTAGGAATGCACTAATATGAGAGCAATTGCCAAGATGGTAACGGGGACAATTTTCAATATTAGGAAAAGTAACTGGCACAAGCACCCCTTCGTCCCGACAGCTGTTTCCCTTTTTAATGCAGCACAAAGATTAGCATCTGATTGGTTGATCGATTGGCTGATTTCTATTTGTATTTATTTATTTATTTAAATTTTATTGTTTGTCTTAGTTCTTATCTCATTATTTGCCCTTTATGTCTCTGATAAACCTGAACCAGAATCTTAATACTGCTGTTTTGGTCAATACTGATACTCTGAAATGGCATGAAAACTACCACTCCGCTGAGGACAGACTTTAATCAGCAAAACTGTCATTTAAGGAGTTAAATATTTGTTCTGTGTGTTGAGGGTTGAAGTTAATGGTACTATGTAATATGTTGATGCGTGCCTGTATTTTTTGTGTCTAAGGGACTCAAGGTGTTTAAAGGAACCTTTTCGTCTTGATCACGTGCAGCAAATACATTTTAGTTCTCTGGTATTCCAGATCCCACCTTTGTTTCCATGGCGTCGATGCCAGACAGCGAGAAGGACGGCGACGATGACAAGGTCTACATCTTCTTCAGCGAGACGGCTGTAGAGTTCGACTGCTACAGCAAACTGGGAGTGTCCCGCGTGGCCAGCGTGTGTAAGGTAATGCGAACAACAAAAACGCCAACAGCGCTTCTGCAGCCGTGCCGGTTCTGCACTTTTCGCTGCTTGATAAAGAATTCTCTCTTCCTGGTTTCAGTTTGGCCTCGTTTTGCGTCAGAACTGCTTTTGTGCCCATAGGGAGATCAAGGAGGCCTGAGGACGTTGCAGAAGCGATGGACATCCTTCCTTAAAGCCAGGTTGGAGTGTCCAGTCCCAGGCTCTAAGTTGCCTTACATTATCCAGGACTCGTACCGCTGGTGCGATCCCTCTCTGCACTGGAAGGAGTGCATTTTTTACGCCACCTTCACCCCGCAGTCGTATGTTTTCATCAACGCACAAAAGGGTTCTTCATGGAGGGGTGGGGGAGGGGGGGGGGGGGCTTAACGCTCAATGACCTTTGGATTTCTCATCATGTGTTTCAGACTCACGTCCGAGATATCTGCGGTGTGTGCGTACCGCATGTCTGACATCAGTAAACAGTTTTCAGAGGGCAAGTACAAGACCCAGGCCTCCGTAGAAGGTTTATACGTAAAGTGGGTGACGTTCAGCGGAGAGGTCCCCAAGCCTCGGCCTGGAACTGTGAGTCTTACCTTTAATTCAGAACGTGTGTTGTTAAAGTGTTTGGAGCAAAAGCAGAATCTTAATGAGTCGCTCTGTTTCTTTTTTACGAGTCGACTCAGCAGGAAACCTGTTACTCCTGACCCCTTGATTGTGTTGTGCTCCTTTTCTTTCTCTCTTTCTCTCTCTCTCTCTCCCTCTCCTCACCTTCCTCCTTCGCCAGTGCATAAACAAAGAGGCTACTAACTCAGAAATAAAAACGACCCTGGACCTCCCGGACAAGACCCTTCAGTTCATCCGAGACAAGCCACTCATGGACCAGGCTATTGAGCCGATGGAGGGCAAACCACTGCTGATGCATAAGGGAGCTGCATTCACACAGATCATAGTGAAGCAAGTGCAAGCTTTGGATGGTGAAAAGTACAACGTCATGTTTATAGGCACAGGTGTGTGATCGCATCCAGCTCTGGTATTCGTTTCCATTTTCCTTTTAGTCCCCAACTGCATGTTATTTACTTTTAGGATTCTGTTCATTATTTCTTGTCATTTATTTTTGATTTAAGATCAAGGCAAGTTGCTGAAGGCTTTGCACAACAAAGACATGTTCATCATAGAAGAAGTCCAACTCTTCACCCCTCCTCAGAAAATCAAGATTCTCAAGTTTTCCAATAATACGGTAATGTAAAGCCACAGTAGTTTAATTAGAAAATCACTGTTCAGGTCTGCAATACAACCACAACTTTGCTAGCTTTGTGTTTGTGCTTGTTTTTGCACAGGGTCAGATTTATGTCGGCTCAGACGTCGGCGTAGCTCAAATATCGCCTGCTAACTGTGAGAGGTCCTCCACCTGTTTCGACTGTGTTTTATCCAGAGATCCGTACTGTGGATGGGACAAAGACGAGGGAAAATGTGTTTCTGTTTCCAGTTCACAGAGGTGAGCAGCGCTCAGTTTACACATCCATTGAAAAAGTATTCATACCCCCTGAACTTAACACATTCTGTCCTGTAAAATTCAAATAAAATATTAAGGTTTAAAGTTTCAATGTGACAAGGAAGGGAAACTTACTCCACTGCACATGCATGTAAATAGTAGCAAACCTCTTCAGGTGTGCAGAACTGACAGATGATAAGTTCTTGGCCGCCCCACTCCTTTCTAATTCCGCCCTGGGCAACCGTCCCTATGCCCCATATTAAAAACCACCACTGGGAGTGTGAATAGTTTAAAAGGCATTGTTTATTTTAAACTAAACTAGTATTTTAACTTTTTTTTTTTTTAGTGTGCTAATCCAAGATATGAAAGGAAATGCTCGTCTCTGCCCCGATGCTGGTGAGTTAGTGCTCTTCTGCAGTATTATCACTGCGTATTGATTTAAAAGCAATTGAGGGTTTGTGGGTGGTTAAACTAATCTTGTGGGATCTTGTTTTGATTTCAGCGCCTGTTGTTGAGCCTCGAAAAATCAGGCCTGGAGGAACACTTAAGCTCATGTGTCCTTCAACTTCCAACCTGGCAAAACTCATCTGGATGCGGAATGGCACGCCTCTCCCACATTCACCTGAGGATGGACTGCTCGTTCTGAACGACTTGGATAATAATAATAATACCGCCGGTAAATACAGCTGCTTGTCTGTGGAGAAATCCAAAGCTGGCGAGTACAAGACCGTTGTAGTCAATTACGAGGTCAGCAGAAGCCTCGAAAACACTCGCAGGGACATCACTCAGGCTCAGAGCGGCGGTCAGTCTCGCTCTGGACTGATAGTTGCAGTCGTCCTCCTTGTTGTTTCCCTCGTTCTCCTTTTGACCTGGAAAGTTGTCAAGCGCCACATTAACCTGCCTTGTGATCGCACGAAAACGAAAGAAGAACCCCAGCAGACTCGTGACCTGGAGGCCAGGGACGCCCGTGTGCCTTTGGCGGCTGAAACGCCGAACAATCACACCAATGCGCCATGTCAGTCAGACGGGACTAACCCGCCAGGAGTAAACTTTTCGTCTATGCACCTCCCTGTTGATGAGTCAACTATTTGAAAATGGCTGTTCTACTACAAAAGTAGAAGAAAAAAAAAAACTAAGAAAATGTAGTGTATATTTCTTTTGTTGAAAATTGTGTCACCTTGAATAACAGTGTTAAAGGACTAATTTTGATTTTTTTTAATTTTTTTTATTATGATGAGGTCAAAGATGGCACGTTTCTTCAAGGTTTTCTTTTTTATAAGCTTCACTGTTTAGAAAAAGGTGGAAAAGAGCCAGAGGTTTACACACCTAGTGTAACGTACAATTCGATCTTCTAAACTTTTTTTTTAAAGTAGCATTTATCTTTTTTTTTTTTTTCGTTTGGGCAAACGTCTTTGCTGGTGAAGGTCTGTGGAGCCAAACATTCAACTTTTACTTCCTGATGCTGCCCATTTTAGATTTTTTGGTGGCTTCCTGTTTTTTTTGTTTGTTTGTTTGTTTTGTTTTGTCTTTTTTTTATTGTTTATTTTAGGTTGTTAGTATAGTATAAAATGGGTTTTAGTCTATCAGTTTTACTGACTAAAACCAGTTACCCAGCTGAAGTTTTCTTTTTATACTTTGAAAACAATACACAAGTATATAAATCTTGCTACAAAAGTTGATAAAAGCGTTTCTGCTTCTGCTCCGGGCCTTGTAAAATCAGCGTATCTTCTACCCATAACTCATAGCACAACTATGTGTACCAGAGGGCAAATAGCTGCTGCATGCTAATGTGTAATCAATTTTACTGTGAGCATCGGTTTGGATTGATGGATGGATGTGGGCATCCCACAACTTTAGTTGTTGTTCATGTGTTTGTAAGCAGTAGCACTAAAAAAAAACTTGTTCAGCTGGCTGTAGCTCTAAATTCAGGAGGTTTTTACATTAAGTTCACGCCCTATTTTAAAAGCTTTCAGTTCAAACTAATTTTAACGCTTTTGGCGTATGCTTAACGCTATTGTGGTATTTTTTTTGTGTTTTAAAATGTTCTTAATTCTCCATAATCCTGATTTTTTTTTTTCAGGGTTTTCTACTGTAAATAGAATTGAGCCACTTTTGTTCTCCGGTTGCCAGCTTGAAAAGAGTTTATTTTGAAATAAAGTTTTTTATTTTTGAACTTAAAAAAAAAAAAACTTTTCTTGACCCGGTTTTCTGAATCTGAATAAGTTTTATTTCTTTATGTTTGGCAAGACTGGCTTTGTGAAGAATGTGAAGAGCAGATGTTGGAGTCATCTGATGTTGTAAATCAGTTTTCTGTTCATGACGGCTCAAGTTCTGACAATAACGCCACTTCTTTTCGCCGACTCAGTTGCGTAATTATAGCACGTAAGTGTCGAACAAGTGTCAACATTGGTACAAATTTAGTACAAATGTATTTCTGCTGGCCTTAACAATGCAAGTGATCCACACAAGCTGAGAAATCAAGAGGAATATGTAGAAAGAAAAAGTTGTGTAATAAAGGGGAATAATATAAATATTGAAGAAACGTACCTGGAGAGAGTCGGCAGGAATCTGTTGGTATTTAGAAAGCAATTCTGCCCCCTGTCTGCAAGTAAATGAATAGCTGCTTTGGTGCTGATTGATCAAATGTGTCTGATAACTTAAATATCGCATAACCCATCTCATGATGGGTGGAAGCTAAGAGTTCTCACAAGGTCTTTGCAACCCAATTTTTGAAAAATGTGCTGATGGTGTTGATTACTGATGCATTTGCAAGCTTCTGAATGTCAGCACTGATCTGGAAGGGGAAAAAACATAATTTAATCATAAACCAACTTTAACTAAATCCTTGGTCAAGATTTCTGGAAGTGGGAAAAAAAAAAAATCTGAGTTGTCCAAAAGTCAAGTCTTGCAATAACATTGCACAAAAGGATATTCCATGAAATGTTTTTGCAATACCCTGTTAACCTAATTTGTCCACAAACTTTTTTTTTTCTATAAGTAAACACCCTCATTAAATATAAATATTCATGTATTAACATTTTGAGTGATTTTCCCCACTGTATGAGATTCGACCCCAAGCAGAAAATCGTCAATAAATGGCAGCAAGCAAACATCAGAAAGTGAAAAAACAAATCTTTAATGTGTATTTAGCAGACTACATTTATAGTTTCCTTTTCAGACAACATGACAAGAGTTTGTCGCTGAGGCTCTAGTTTTATGAGCAGCTAAAACGAGCCAAATCATCCGGTTTCCGCGAGCGAAGTCAGGTCCCTGAGGTTTTGGTCCGTGCTGGTGACTCGTTCATCTCCTGTAGCGATACCTCTTGAAGTGGAACCACAGCTGGAAGATCCCGTTGGCGAACTGGCAGCGGAACCCGTGTCGGTGCGAGTACTCCCACTCCCTGTTGACAATCTTAAAAGCGATGTCCTCGTACGGCGGCCCGGCGTGGAACCTCAAAATCCCAAAGTCCTTGTTGTCCGGACACGGCTCGAGGAAGTACTGAGGCGTGGAGCGCTTGTCGATCAGGTCCGGGTAGAAGATGTTGAACTTGTACCCCTGGACGATCTTGGGCGGCGGGTTGTCGAAGTCGTAGTGCGTCTGGTTGTACTTGTTCCACTCAAAGCCCGTGTGGACCCGGTTGAAGAAGCGCGGTTTGCGCGGACGGTACTTGTCCGCCCACAGGTACATCTTCCCGGAGACTGGGATCTCCACGCTGAACTGGGCCTCGTCGTTGCCCATGCCTTCTTTGGCCCGCCGCACGAAGGCGTCCTCCGCGCTTTCGCTGGCGTCGCCTGGAACGCCGGAGGAAGAAACTCTCGTTATTTGGACACGTGACGGTGACGTGTCTACTGCGTTTGTGTGTCGAGCGGAGAGGGCTTTTTACCTGTGACCTGAAGCTGCCTGCGGGCCAGCTGGAGCCGGTGCGCGTCTTCCTCTGGGGTGATGGTGTGAGTGTCCAGCGGCAGCTCAGACAGAGTGAGCAGAGTGGGACTGTAGCGACCAGAGTCGTACTCCGCCTGGCTCTGCTGGATGAGGTCCTCCTCCGTCAACACGGCCTCCGCCGCCTCTCCCTTCCCCTCCTCGTCTTTCCCTTCATCTTTCTCTCCTCCCTCTTCGTCTTGGCCGCCAGCCGTAGAGGTGGACGGGCCTGGCCCCTCTTCATCCTCCTCCATTTCTCTGTTCTTGTTTCTCCGGGATGAAGACGCCGACAGACCGCTCTCCTCCGCTGTCCTCTCTCTCGTTCTTTCCTCATCCCTAAAGAAGAAGAGGCTTTATGTTAAACTTTTTTTGTTTCTAATATCGTTACTTTATCTACTGTCCCCTTCCAAAAACATTTTTTTCTCGTTTTGTTACGTTATTACCTTTGACTTCAAATAATTCTATTGGGATTTCATGACATTCCCACACAAAGCACTGCGTGATTGTGACGACGAATGAAAAAGATCCATGATCTTCTTGTGTTTGACAAATAAAAACCTGAAAGGTGTGATGTGAATTCATAGTTCACTCCCTTTACTTTGGTACATTTGAAGAAAATCTAAACAGAAGCAATACCCCAAACTCTGAATACCTAATTAAGAACGATCAATATATTATCTGAACTGGAAAAAAGTATGTCGGACCAGCAAACCTACCAAGACGTATGACCATCCATCTAAACCAATTACAGGGAAATACTGGAGGAAAACCCATTAGATGATGCAAAACATCTGTGACTGAGGAGGAGGCTCATCTTGCAGCAAGACAATTATGCAAAACGTGCAGTCAGAGCTCCATGGGAATGGTTTAGATCAAAGCTGTCGATCCGTCGTAAGGCTTAAACTGATGCTCACAGGTCTAATCTGCCTGAGCTGGAGCCAAACTGCAAAAATGGAAGATTTGCAGAGATGGGAGACGACTAAAAAAGACGCTTAGTTGGAAATGCAACAAGGAGGAAGGTCCACCAAGTATTGACTCAGGGCAGCTGAATACATATTCATGTACAAAACATTGTAGTCACGGTCGCAACAAGACGAAATGTTTTGCAAGACGCCGTCTGCGGGGTCATCACAACTTACTCGTCTTCCTCGCTCCTCGGTTCCTCTTTGATGATGGGGAACAGAGGTTCGCTTTCCACTCCCTGCTCTTGTTTCAGTTTGAACAGCTTCTGACGCAGCACGTCCTGATGGCGCTCTCTCAACCTGGATGTTAAAAAAAACAAACACAATCTGTACTCCATCCAAGCCGACACACTCCGCAGGCGGCCCCTCGGATTTACGCCGTTTTCCATCCATGCAGTAATTCAGAAAACACGGACGGAGTGCGGCTCCTTTCTCACCGCGCTCTGGCCATGTAGACCCGAACTTGCTGCAGCAGACTCTCCCAGTAGCCGATGTCGAGATTGGATCCCCCGGCCCGGATCTTTCCCTCGATGTTCAGGTGCAGCGCCTGCAGCTGGCTGTAGGTTTTCCCTTTGAACACGGACTGGACGTCGGTGCTGACCGCTGTGTTGATGCCATCGCGTCGATCGCCTGAAGGTTAAAGTGGAGCGCAACATGTCAAAGGTCTGGTATGTGTTTTTTGCAGGGAGCGAATGTAAGTAGATAGCTAAATTCAAAAGTGGATAAAAGTTTTTTTTTAACAACTTCTTGAAGTTTTTAGTTAGCGTGGAAGTTGATGTGATTTATGTATTCATTCTTAGGCTGCAAAAAATACTTTTGGAAGAGTGTAGAGCTTACACTCTGTAGGCAACAGACAAAATATTCTAAGTCTGCCGTAGAAAAAGTAAAGACTTGCAAGTCTTCGGGTTTTTCTAGCATTATGCATTGACGCTCCCTCACAGCAGATTAAAATAGTTTGGTAATCATATACAACAGATATCACATCCATATATTTTTTTTTTTTCTTTTCTCAAATATGGACACTACAGCACTAAAACGTCCATACCGGGTCCTTTCCCAGACGCTTCCAGTTTCCTCAGCTTGCTGATCTCGTCCTCGGTGATGGTCGTCATGTCTCTCCAGAAGTCCACGTTCTTGCCCTGCTCCAGCTCCATGTAGACCTTTCACATAGACACAGTTTACTGGAATAGTAAGGCTGAAGCTGAGCCATTATAAAACATCACTTGGTTTTGGTCTAAACCAGGGCTCTACGACCTCAAAACAAAAAAACAATGGGGATCACGAAGGGGAAGAGGTGTTACGCTCCGTGTGTTTTTTTTGTTTTTTTTTTTGCATAGCTATGCCACAGTGAAGCAGGATTGTGGGTGTTTAACTGAAGCAGAGAAGTAGCGTTGTGGTCCTTTTTTTCTCGTAAAGAAAATTCATTTAGAGCCACGGGATTTTTAAAGAATCGAAAAAATAACAACAGCTTAAATGGCAAAGTCTAGGTTGTTTTGTTTTTTTTTCCCTCTTAGCAACCTGAAATAAATTATGTTTCATGACAGCTGGTTTTTGGCCAGAGACTATGCAATGTATCAGTTCACACACAGTAAAAAGGGGAGATTTAAAGTTTTCTTCCACTTCACAAATGTTACACTAAGTGTTACTCTGACAAAATGAGGTCATGGCTACATGTGCAAAGCACTGCAAAGACCAGTTAAGTACTAATCAGCCGCTGAACCTTTATGTCCTCCAGCAGGTCCTCCATGTCGGTGACAGTCAGTCCGTTGAGGAACGTGTACGGTTCGTGCATCTCCACGGCCAGATCGTCGTCCTCGGCACTGATGTACTTCGCCAGAAGGTCGATGGGTTTTGCACGGCCATCGCGGATTCTAATCTTGGACCTAAATCGACATTTTTGGACAACTGGATAAGTACAGTTCAGTGACTATTTTTTATTTTTTGGCAATTACTTTGATTAAAAAATAAATAAATAAAACAAAATAAAAAACATTATTGCACACTAGCCTTAGTTTGGCCTGCTGCAGGTGGAAGTTGTCCTCCTGTTCAGCCCAGGTTTTGAAGTGCTCGGCCTCTTTCTCTCTCTGCAGCATCTCCAGCTCCGTCTCTCTCATGGCTTTCTCTCGCTCCCGCTCCAGCCGCAGCTGCTTCACCTGAACGAGCGCGCAGCCAGCGTGATTACAACACACGACGCTGCCGGTGTGTTCCGGTCTCGAGAGGAGCACCGTTCTCGTGTTCCTACCTTTTGCAGCTCTCTTCGGTTCTCCTCCTGGATGCATTTGTTTCTCTCTTTCAGCTCTTTTTCGCTGAAATGGCCAATGCCCTTCTTGTCCAGCGCCTGAAGCACAAAAACACAGAGACGAATCGGGATGGGGAAACAACGTTTAGGTTTAGGAATAATGGGTCAAACGTCTCGGTGGAGAACTGACTTTCTGCCATTTGAATGTGCCCAGCAGGTTGTTGTCTCCAAACGGGTTGTCTGCGTTGGTGTATCCCATGTATTCTTCGCTCCAGCCCATCTTCTCCCTCCTTTTCTTTTCCTTCGCTTCCTTCTTCGCCAGTCGTCTGGCTCTCTTCTCCTCTGGCGTCTCCAGGGCTTTCATCAGCTCTTTCTGTTTCTTCCTCTCCTCTTTCTCTTTGACTTCAAGGTTCTCATTGTCTGAATCGGAGCTCTCCGAGGAGTCGGACGCGCTGGACCCCCGCCTCCCTCTGCGCCTATCATCTCTCTCTTTGCTCTTCTTGCTCCTCCCTCGCTCCCTATCCTCGCTCCTCTTCTTCCTCTCTCTGCTTCTGTCACTTTTCCTTTCCTGGTCCCTCGTCTCTCTGCCTCTTGCTGTACTCCCTCGATCAGGACTTTGTCTCCGTCTCCTCCTCTCTCTGTCGCTGCTTCCGCTGCTCGAGCCCGAGCCGGACTGGGACCTTCCCTTCCTTCTCTCCGTCTCCTTCCCTCTTCTTCTCATCTTGGAATTGTCTGAATCAGGACTGAAAAGAAAACAGATTATTTGTATGAACACTACAAATACTGCAAGTGTTATTTTATGTAAAGGAAAACATTAGAATGGTCGAGATTAATCCTGCCAGAAATGACAATAGAAATAAAACCAAAACACATTTTGGTGAAAGTGTGGAAATATATTTCACAAAATGCCAATTTTATTAAAAACCTACTTATGAGAAAAGCGACTAGAAACAATTTAGAACAAAAATGTCAAATTATTCTACAGGTAATAAACTGTATCTTAGGTGAGTCTAACTGATTTTTTACAAAAAGAGTCTCGCTAGAAGCTTTAAATCAGTGCAAAACCCCATATTGTTGGCATCTGTCGTGTTTTACTTTTCCACTGTGTGCAGAAGACTGCCAAAGTAACATAAAAAAACTGCGAAAGAGGCTGTTGATTAAAGGCTAACACCTACTATTTGGGGCTAATCGTTGTGTCGGATGTTATCACAGAGGACATGCGTCAACTTCATTATTTGCATCCATAACAAACCCAGGAATCCATTACCTTGACGATCGACCTTTCGATCTGCTGCTCCGGTGCTCTCTTCGCCTCCTGTCAGCCTCCGAGCCGCTGCCGGACCCAGATCGGCCCCAGTGCTGAGGCCGACGGCGGACTGGAGATCCATGATTTGAGGCCGCGCTGCTGCTGCTCGATCTAGTTCGTCCGTGGGCGGCTCTTCTGGCGTCCGGAGACCTACTACGGCCTCTCCTCTCGTCTGGAGATTGCGATTTGCTTATTTTAGACTTGTTTCGCCTATCTCGACTCCGACTTCTGGTTCTGGACCGGGTCCTGCGTCGCGATTTCGAACTCATCACGAACTTAACTGCTGCACGGGGCCCGAGAGGAAGTCTGTCGCGTAAATAAGACGTAATAATGAGCAACGCAAAGGCAGATCACTCGTCCAATTTTAGAGTGCAAATAACAAATGCGGAAATAGTATTATTTTTTAAATAAAAGCAATAAGGAAAAATAGCACAAATTTTACATTTTCCGATTTCCAAAAGGCATCGCTAAGGCCACCTATATAAGCCCTTGTAGAAACTCTTGCGCAAAATATATACGTCATAATAAACTACAAAACATAAATAAAAACAAATGCGCTGCACACTGTAATGTTTGTACTAAGCTAGTGTTTTGTACCGTTTGTGATTCTGATATTTAATTAATAAACCAACTGTCCTCCATACCAGTAAGCACATTTTAGTGTATGTAACAGTTGAGTGAATGAAATGGAAAATACAAAAATCTATATTTTGAAATATTAATTCAATTTGCTCGCTTGCCGAGATTCATGAATATCTTCATTATAATTTTATGGAAAGGGACATATCCCTTTCTAGTCAAACTTGAAAAGGATATCTCAGTAAGGATCAGAGATAGTGTAAAGCACAGTTCATGAATAAACTAATAAGACCAAACGGTAGTCTTTTCCCAATATTTTGCTCTTTTTATTACTCAAATAGGAAGTGTCATAGAGGTTGAGTGTGAAAATACATTGAGACATTAAGATACTAACTGAAAGAAGATCAACTAAACTGTTTATTAAAGCATCTGACACTATGTCTTAAATACATGGTTTATTGGATTTTGGTTTGCAGAGAATACGCGTTCCCTCTTAGAAATAAGATTACACAGGGCATTCCTTTTATGCGTTTTATTTTCAGGTATATAGTACAAATACCGCGACAGCCAGGCGACCTGTCCAGGGTGTACCCCGCCTCTCGCCCGAAACGTTAGCTGGAGATGGGCACCAGCACCCCTGCTGCCCCCAGGGACAAGGGTGTACAGACAATGGATGGATGGTACAAATACATTTTTTTTTTTACTTTCGCAACAAAACGCAGAAAACAAAAAAACCTAGCAACTGTATTAATTATGCCAATTCACAGAACTGATTGAAAACTTTTCAAAGTACACTAACTGATCTATAAAGCTTAATTAATTATTATAGACATTCTTAGATTCTTTTAAAAATATTGTTAAAATATTGTATCATGTTGAGGGATGCGCCTAGGGCATGCTACAAACTCTTAAAAGGGGGGGGGGGGGGTTTACATATGAAAAATGGACTACAACTCCCAAGCAACACCAGGCGCCATTACCTGTTTTCAGAGTACAGGGGACTCCTTTCTGCAACATATTTCCCTATCTAGTCTTCTCCGTCTGTGGTTAGAACTACAGAGCTGACAACTATCAGCAGTGTGTTAGTTTAGTACAGTTAGAGATGGCTGCTAATATTGTTGCTGTCTGAACTCGGCGTTGTTCGTAGTTACAAAGTGTTTCCGCCGCAGTTAGATCGGCTCCAGCTGCTCGGTAAGGGACAGCTTGCAAGCTAACCTTAGCCGATAGCCTGTGGTAGATTTACGGGCTTATATCCGCTGCTGTCCTGCCAGGTAAATAAGCTAAAGCTGCTCAGCCACGATGTTTTTCTCGTTTCAGCCATTTCTCAGTATTGACATTGATAAGTAGTGAATTTGTTCTGAGAAGCTCTGTTTGGTCTGTGCGCAGGTTCGGCCTGTTTTTTTGTTGTTTCTGAACATCTACAGAAAGGAGAGGAAAAGAAAAGCAGAAGTTGTTGGGGGTAGGCTGTATTGTTAGCTAGGCTAACGTAGACGCTTTGGTGTAAACAAAAGCGTCAGCTGCTGACTCCGGATTATCGTGAAAGCTTCACAAAAACAGTATGGCGCAACACGACCCCTCTCATGTAGCCAGCTCTCAAAAAGCACTGATGTTGGAAATGAAGAGCCTTCAGGAGGAGCCTGTTGAGGGATTCAAGATAACTCTGGTGGACGAGGCTGATCTGTACAACTGGGAAGTGGCCATCTTTGGACCACCAAACACTCACTATGAAGGAGGATATTTTAAGGTGAGAAGTTTATTACATTGTCAACAAAGTTTAAGACTGACACAAGAGAAATAGAAAATGCAGTGGATGATCTCAGATGCATGCATGCATGCATCGTTTGGAGTCGTGAAAAGCATTGGATTTAATTGTACTCTTTTTTTCAGACCTAAAAAAAGTTTATTTTAAAATTTGTTAGTGCTATAGGTTCTTTGACAGAGGTGAATCCAAAAGAAAAGGGTGAAAAACCTTCAAGGTCATTCATATAGTTGCATGAAAGCATATGTTTTTTACCTTAAATTTTTGGTAAGGTTTTAAATAAAAAATTCTTCAAAGCAGATGCTTGCTGTGTTTATTAACCACATATTAACCACAATCAGAAAATTCACAGTTGGTTTTTTTTTTTGTTTGTTTGTTTTTTAAGCGTTAGCTGGACAGTGACTTGTTCAAAATGTACAGGATTCCAAAAACTGATTCAATTAGTTTGTCCGTACGTCTGTCAATAATTCAGTTTTTTTTTTAAATGTTTTTTTTTTTTTTTTTTGGTCGGGCTTCTTATTTAAAGTCTTGTTACAGAAGAAGTTAGAAGCCTTTTGCCCCAAACTTATGATAAAGGTTTGAAATAAAAATGACTTTTCAAAGGCTGCGTAACAAGTGCTTTGTATTTTCACCTGAAAACGTGTAGTAACCCTGTATCCTCTGTGTATGTTTTTTTGTTCAAGGCTCGGATCAAGTTCCCTACAGACTACCCATACTCTCCACCTGCTTTCCGCTTCCTCACTAAAATGTGGCATCCCAACATTTATGAGGTCAAGTATCACAGCCAAAAGCAGCTTGTGATTTTTCTTTGCATCACATGTTTCAAGACCCACAGTACAGTGAAATAAGACGGCTTCTCCTGCTCTTAGAATGGGGACGTGTGCATTTCTATCCTGCACCCGCCAGTGGACGACCCGCAGAGTGGAGAGCTGCCTTCAGAAAGATGGAATCCCACCCAGAATGTCCGGTCAGCAGCTCCCTCGTCGTTTTCTCTCTTAATATGTATCTTCCTTCTGATTTTTTTCTACTCCCTGCTCTGTCCTCTCTCCGCTGCTTCAATAATCTAGCTGGCACAGAGTCTTATCACATGACATTCATTATTGGTACCGTCTTCTTCAGCTGTTCAAGATCCACCCACGAAAATATTTTACATACATATTCACGTTGTTTTCATGTATTGTGTTGATAGCTAGGCTGAGCGTACATGTTTGCATAACTAGGGTAGTTTAAAAAGAATGGCGTGAATCATATTTATTCAATTCAGGTGGTCATTGGAACATCCGATTTTATTATTTTTTTCTGACAAGTGAATGCATCGTACCTTTGTTGACAAGGACGCTCTTTGATGTGGAAGTTGTTACTGAGTCAAGAAGATTCAAATGACCTATTTTTGGCTAAGCTAGAAAAAAGGAGGGATCAAAGCTTTACAAAAATTGGCAATCAGCTACAAATGATGATTGGTGCAATGCATTCTCTCGATTTTCATGCAAGTTTTACAAGCCATTTACAGATGCTGTAAGGACTCTATGAAAGGAAAAAAAAATAAGCACAGGTTTATACGGTTACAGCAGCAGAGCTGGCTGTGCTCCAGCTGCAGGGCTCTGATGTTATGTACTCAATTAATCCTCTTACAAGCTGAAATATCCCCTGAGAAAAAGAAAATTTGGTTTCTAATCTTGTCACCTACTCACACCGACCAATCGCTTTTAGTTCCACCTGCGATTCGTTTCAAGTTTTCCTGTGACGACGTTCAACATGTAGAATGCTCTTCACATGCAATCTGAGTCGGCGCTTCGCATGAATGGAGCAGAGCGGCAGGTTGAACTGTACTCTTTTTCTGGGAATAAGAAAAGCAAAATGCTTCGTCTGCATTTTGACAACCTATTAAAAGTTTTTAGCTTCCACAGAATTGCAAGAATATTCAAACTTTTCTTATTTCGCCTTCTGTTTGCAGATGTGACAAACTTGGACATTTACAGCATATTCAAAACCCATTACAAGAACTCCTGAAACAGTAGCTCATATGATTACGCTAGATCTGAAAATTAAACTAGAGTTTACAGTTTAGCTAACTAATGTTTTTTGTCGGCACCATTTATCTGCTGCTGTGGTAAAACCTGTTTCCTACTGTGCATTGCTAAACAAACACAGGGGAAATATTAAAACAGGAACAGAATCTGCTCGGGTTGCTTAGAGTGTAGCTTTTTTTTTTTTCTTTTCTTTTCTTTTTTTCAAATCAATGACTAAACCAACGCCACGGCTGCTGCTGCTGCTGCTGCTGCTGCTGCTGCTGCTGCGGCCACAAACCGCAGCTGCTGCATCCTGCTTCCAAAAGTGGCCCACTCTACATTACTCACTAAGCCACCTTCTAAAATGTGAGGCCTCTTCAGGCAGAGTAACAAAGCATTTCTACCAAGTATGTTTGCTAACTTTGCTTGAAATACATTTCTGTTTTCAACAGTGTAAAATGTGTATTTAGCAGGTATTAAGAGTTGTATATAGGTCACCAAAAGTAAGTTGGATTGAAGGGGATCTCCAAGTTTTCTTCAGTTTCTTAAATTGCACACTTTTAAAAACCAGAGACAGAGCAGTGAGTGCTAGCTTATCTCTCTTCTTTTATTTTTGGTCTGCTTTTAGAACCATTTTACTAAGCGTGATCTCGCTGCTGAACGAGCCCAACACCTTTTCCCCCGCCAACGTGGACGCCTCCGTCATGTACCGCAAATGGAGGGACAGCAAAGGCAAGGACCGGGAGTACGTAGAGATCATCAGGTAAACGGCTCCCAACGATTTGGACATGTGGCAGATTAGCTCACTTTGTTGTTTTTAGCCCCTTTTGAATTGTCCCATAGCAACGCTCAATGTGACACACTGTGTTTCTGGAAACCACAAGCCTGACTGCGTTTTGGGGGAATTTTATGTGATGGACTAACACAAAGTGGTGCCAGATTGTGAAGTGGAAGGCAAATGATGCGTTGTTTTAAACATATTTTTTTTTTTTTGACAAATCAGTAATATAAATGGTGTGCAGTTTCGTCAGATGTTGTTACATGGCTGTAAAAATAAAAAAAGAAAAGATGTAAATATTTTGGGGGGTTTTGTGACTGTATTAAGGCACAGACCCACCAGTGGATGAGCACTAGGCTTTTGTTTGTTTGTTTACAAAGTAGCTGACTTCTGTACTTAATTGTACTGGATTTAATTTTGTGAATTCAGAATAAAAAAAGATCTGATTCCACTTTAATATTTTTATTTAAAAAAAACCCCAAAAACCCAATAAGTTGAAATTTGTACTTTTGCAGGCAAGCTGCTGTATTTCCTAACTTTTAAAAAACATTGAACTTATGTAGGCCACAAAGCCCATAACCGTGATGCCTTAAACTCTCTGCCCTCAGGAAACAAGTGATGGCCACCAAAGCGGAAGCTGAGCGCGACGGAGTCAAGGTGCCCACCACTCTGGCCGAGTACTGCGTCCGCACGCGCGCTCCGGCCCCCGACGAGGGCTCCGACCTCTTCTACGACTATTACTACGACGACGACGACGTGGAGGGAGAGGACGGCGACTGCTGCTACGACGACGACGACTCGGGCAACGAGGAGTCGTGATGCGCTTTTGCGGCAAAAGCGCCTGATCTATCCGCGACGAATGCTCCTCCTTTCTCTCTGCCCGGGTTGCCAGATACTCCAGGTTTACAACCAAGATTGGAAGCTTCCTTCTTCTAAATCAATAAGAGCTTTTTTTCCCTTGAGCCTTAGAGGTTAAAAGTTGATGCCTCGCCCTGAGAGGGTCAGACTTGGTAAAGTTTTTGCACCAGCAAAAAAAAAAAAAAAAGGAAGAAAAAAATGTCACCAGTTCCTTTATGTTTCCAGTCGTCATCATCACCTACACCTTAGTTTTGAGAGAATTTCCTAAATGCTCACATTTTTTCCAGCATTGTTAGATCATGCGTTTAGCATAAAGTGTTGTTAATGGGTAAGTACCACTGCTAACAATGACATGTTCACTGGTGTAACCTCTCCAAAACATTACTCGGCCTCTTTCTCCCGTTCTCGCGTTTGTATTTCTCTTAATTGTAAGTGGCTGCTGCTCTCTGGTGGAAACTGAAGAATTCACGCGGCCTGTTTGTGCTGGACAAAGCTCTGCAAATGTCAAACGTTTCTTAAGTTTCACAGCGTCTCTCTCTCTCTCTCTATTTCTCTCTCTCTCTCTTTCTGTCTCTCTTTGGTAGGAAAAGACACAAATGAATTGTTACGTGACAGTGTTTTCTTTGTGCATGCCAGAGCATCTTCAAAAGCTTTTCATCTCTCTCTTACTTACTGGTGGACTGCTTCCTCCCTCCTTTCACGGCCTGGGACGACGCAAAGATTTTGACGTGATGACGGAGAAGTCGGCTCCTCACATGAACATTTTTACTAACACGAGACTGATGTTTGCTGGCTTTCTTCTGGTTACTGTTGGACGCGTTTCTGCGGGGAAGGGGGGGTTGTGTTGTTCGGGGTAGTGAGCGGTTTTTTTTTGTTTGTTTGTTTTTTGAGGGAAACGGGGACAGAAGGAACTGTTGATCAGAATTGTATTTCTCCTTAGGCTCGGTCTCGGCGACGCCTGACGGACCCAAAGACCTGAAGCATTGTGTTGAAGAAATCCTTCAACGTTTTGACTAGTGTTTGGCGTGTTTTTTGTCTTTGTTTGCTTTTTCCTCTCTTGCAAGCTTTATCATTATAGTTGGCTTTTTTTTTTCTTTTAGACATTTTGCCTGCACTGTTTACTCAAAAGGTTGACCAAGAAGACCTGTAGATAGTGTTTGTAAGAGGATGGAGTGCTAGGATTACTGATGTTTTCACCCCTTCCAAGTGGAAGTATAAAGAATCAGATTGCTCTTTTATTTCTCATGACTATTCTTTGTGTTAGTTAAAAGTGGACAGATTTTGATAATATTTTTAGAGTGTATGGGTGTCCTGCGTATATTTTTTATATATATTTTTTTCCTGCCAGCAATATTAATTTTTCTTTCTGTTAAATTGGGACATCATAATGAATTTCTCAGGAGAAAATTACATGCGACAAAACAATTAAGACGAGTAACTAATTTCCTTTGGTGGTCTTCAGTATTGGTTTACAGCTTCTGCAGGAACCATAATCAATATGCACACGTAGCTGTACAAACGATCACCATGTTTTATTTACCTGTGTCTGTTTTTTTATTTCAGCTATTTAAAACTGAGAAATAAAGATTTATTTGAAAGAACGACATGCGAGTTGACATTTGAGTTTAGTCCTACCTATTTGTGCAGCGATCCTATGCAGCCAACGGAAATCTGGAAAAGCATGAAATTTTATTAAATATGGAAAAATTTAATTTGTGAATGGAAAAAAGTTTCAGTTTTCAGATTTATTACCTAACATAAAAATTTAACTTTTTCAAAACTTAAAAAAAAAGCTAAATTTTAACAAGTATGTTTAAAGACCATTATATATTTATAAATTAAGATCTAGAATGAGGCTATAATTATGTATGGAAGGGTTCAGGTTGAACTAACTTAATGGTTTTAGTAAAGCACAACATTTTCTATACAGAAAAAAATACGTACGTATTTTCCCCTAACAGTGAAACAACATGAGTTATGAAGATTTTCAAGAAGTCTATACAGTTATATTTCATTTTGTCAAAATTGGAAAGAGCAATTTGCGATCTAGCCAATCATACAGGGATCGTGAACGCAGCACGATAATCTATCCACTGCACGAACGCAGTGCATAAATGGAGACGCGAGAGAGGATTGAAGATGCTGTTCTTTGTGTTAACATTTTCTTTACATGACGTACAGGCTGTACTTCCCAAATGTGTGGGTTGTAGTTTTTCTGAGACAACGCGTATAAAAACACTCATCATTAAAATTTCATTTCCAAGTAAGCGTTAATGCAGCAGAGGTCGTCGCCTAGTGATGACGTGTTCCAAACAAAGCCGCTCAGAGAAAAATTCTTGTGGATAAATGAACTATTTCTAATACAGAGAACAAAGACAACAGTTGCAGCTATGTCAGTGAATTATGCTGCTGGGCTCTCTCCGTACGCAGATAAAGGTGTCTGCGGACTGCCTGAGGTAAATAATGAATATTTTTAGCTTTAAAACGAGCTTTTTGAATAGCTAGTTAGCATCTTAGCTGATATTGTTTTAGTAAATGAGAAAGTTGTGAAGGAACTGTGTTGTATTACGTGGAAGTAAACCACAAACTACAGTTATAGCGATAAACCATCTTCCTGCATCGGAATATTTTGGTCTGTACTTATTTGTTGATGTCAGAATGTTCATTATTTACAAGGTATTCGCTTCTCTATAATCACTTATTGTGGTTAATGTTTTTTTATTATTATTATTTAAATTCAGCCATGAATGTTTTTTTTTATTTATTGTTGTTATTTTTGTATCTTTGGGAGGATTAATTTCTAAGCACAATGTTTACATGTGATACTTAAAAGTGTTTTAAAAGCCTGGCATGCCTCCCAAACAAACACTTAACGTTTATATAGTTGTTTTTGAGACTGGATGGCAGCAAGATGTCAGTTTTTGCTGCAGTTCTCAATCTGCGAGTTTTGGAGACTTTTCTTCACCTTTCTTACTGTCGTGCTGTAGGTTTGGGATTCTAAGATAAACATGGAGCCCCATACAGCGTAAAGGACAGTGGCTAAGCGAAATGGCCCTCAGCACCATCTCCTGCTGCATACTGCAGGAAGTCAAAAGTCCTGTATTACTAGTTTATGTAAACTTTGATTAACAGAAACGGTCAGTGTACCGACAGTCGATTAAAAACAATTGTTTCTTCCTCTAGGACCACGTCCCGAATGATTCTTCTCACTAAATAATTTTTGTCATATTAATAATCTACCCATCAACAGGTCTTTAAATGTGGTAAATCAGTAAAGTCTTAGTTAATAATATTTGCTATTGTGCAACATTGGTTTCCCTTAAATAGACTAATCCGTGTGAAAATGTCAAGCTGTCTTTGTTTTGATGATATTTGTTTATGCGTATGCACATATTCTCGTCTGTTTCATGAAATATCATACTAAATAACCTCTTGAGATGTTGCGTCCTTTTCATGTACGAGTCAAACAAATATCACCGATGTCCGTATGATTATCCCAGTAGTTGATTGTTGTGTTTTCTGTTCATTGGCAGAGTTTCGACAGTTCTGAGGAGCTGAAGGCAAAAGTGGAGAGCCTTGCTCAGCTGATCAAAGAATCTGAGTACTTGGTCGTCCACTCTGGAGCTGGAATCAGCACCTCATCAGGCATCCCTGACTTCAGGTGAGACACAATCACTGTAGACCTTGTCCTCAGTCACATTCAGTTGTAAATTACTACGTCAATTTGGCTGGAAAGGTGTGTACACGGCGTCACACTCATGTCTTACTGATTCATTGTTGTAGAAAAATGTGGTTAAAAGATAGCTTCCTACTACTTGGCGTCATTACAGGTCACGCAGGAAATTAATAAGGTTCTTTAGACGTGCTTAAAGAGTGTTTTGGGGTTTTTTCCACCTTCCTTACTGTAGTGCTAAAGAAGACTGTCATTAAGTCTGATTGGAGAACACCACTACAGTTTTCATTTGATAACAATCACGCCTTTAGAGGCGACGTCAGAAGGTCCATGCACAGCAAATTATCGTTGCTTGGCTCAAAAGCTTTTTTTTTTTTTTTTTTTTTTTCCCTTGTGTAATAGATGAAGTGTTTAGTTATTTTGTTTCATCTCTTGCATTTTTGGAACTATAGTTAACGGAAATGTTACATTAGTGTTAATATGTTGATGTTCTGTTCATGCATTTTGTGTGGCTATGAGGAAAGATGTGTGTGTGTGTGCACGCGCAACGTGTCGGACTAATCTGTGCTGTTTGTGGAAATCTCGCCTGAAGATAATCTGGGGAAGCAAGATAACATTGATCATTACTGTAATTGTCACATCCACAGGGAAGCTGCTTCAATAATAAGCTACTATTTTGAGACCGTTTGCCTAAATGGAGAGAAATAAACAGTTGGATAGGAAACCAATAAGCAAAGAGGAGAATTTGCTCTTCACAATTACCAACCTAGACTTTTCTTTTTTTAGCCTTTAGATATTTATTCGTAGAATAAAGACTCACATTCCCCCCCCCATACTGAATTATTGTTTGTTTTTTTTAGCACCTGTTTTAGCTCTAAGTTGGATCTGTGTGGTTGATGTCCTATGAATGTTATTATTGGATCTGTTTTTGTTTTTCTTTATCTGTTACTAAATTGGCAATTTGGTTTTCCAAGACACAATAAAAAGAGGCTTTGCTCGTTCAGGATGAGGGACAGCTACAAAGAGGTTCTTGTATAACTGTTTAACTTTTTTTTTTGTCAGCATCACTGAAAGTGAACAACAAAATGTTACAGCGTTGTATGATAAATAGGACTATTTGGACCATGTGTGAAGTGAGCTGAATCTAACTATATGACTGGATTGCATGGAAATAAATAGAAATGAAATGTATTGATTTGAATTGTATAGTACTAGAAATGATTTTGACCTCTTTGTTTTTTATAATATCTAGAGGGGATTTTTTTTTTTTTTGCTAAATTGCAGCCATATGAAAAAAAAATAATAGTGTTTTTCCCAACGTGAAGGAGTGTATTTATATTAAAAGGAGATCCAAGCTAGGTTGTTCATGTTAAATGATATGAAAAGTCAAAACTATAAAACAAACAAAAACAAACAGGAAGAAAAAACACCTACCAGGTATTGAACAGTTCAAAACCAGAAACTGGATGTTCAAATGAATTATTGTGTGAATTATTATTACTATTCTCCAAATTACATAACATTTTTTTATTATTATTATTATTTTAAACTGCCCTTTTCTTATGGATTATATATTACAGCAGATAATCTGACATTGTGATTCCAGGCAGGAGCTTAACCTGCAGTGAATCGAGTTATTTTATTTTTTCTATAATTATTTCTACATATAATACCCCCCCCCCCCCCTCAGCCCTTCTGCCGAACACAGGAGGAGGCTGATACGATTGATTATTTTTTTAG